AAGCAAGAATTTGAACACTTAACATTTGCTGTGAAAGTCACCTATGCAGTCAGACTTAAAGCCTGAATGAATGTATATGACCTTAGGTAAAGCCCCATTCCTTTCCCCAGACATTTTTCTGGCAATCAAAATCAAGACCACTAATTTTGTGACCAGTGAGATGGTTCTGTGGGTAAAGGCTATTGCCACCAAGCCTAATAACCTGAGAGTTCAATCCCCAGAACCACAATGCCTTTAAGTATACATGCCTCCACATGCCATGGCATATGTGTAAGCTGCACATGTACACACACACACACACACACACACACACACATATACACACGCACACTGTATAAATGTAATTCTTTTTTTACCACCCCATTTTTAAATTTAAATTAGAAACAAGCTTTGCTTCACATGTCAATCCCAGCTTCCTCTTCCTCCCCTCCTTCCCCACCCCCCTACCAGGTCTCCCAACCCCCCACCCAATCCCCACTCTGTTCCCCTGGGAGGGTGATGCCTTCCATGGGGTGTCCAGAGTCTGTCATTTCAATCAGGGCAGGGTCCAGGCCCTCCCCCAAGAGTCCAGGCTGAGAGAGCATCTCTCATTGTGGGATGGGCAACCAAAGTTCATTTGTACACCAGGAATAAATACTGATCTACTACCCAAGGCCCCATAGATTGCCTAGGCCTCTTCACTGACACCCACATTCAGGAGGTCTGGATCAGTCCCATGCTGGATTCCTAGCCATCAGTCTGGGGTCCAAGAGCTCCCCCTTGTTCAAGTCAGCTGTTTCTGTGGGTTAAACCAGCCTGGTCTTGACCCCTTTGCTCACCAGAAAATAAATGTAATTCTTAAAGCTACTGATTTGGGGCCAGTGAGTTGGTTCAGTGGATAAAGGCACTTGCCCACAATCCTGACAATCTTCAGGACCTATGTGGAGAATGGAGAGAACTGACTCCTGTAAACTGTCCTCTGGCCGCCGTAAACACGCTGTGCCACACACGCAAAATAAAATAAAGTCAATCTTTAAAGATAATGCAATTAAGTCATGGGTTTGTTTGTTTGTTTGTTGTTGTTTTGTTGTGTTTTGTTTTTTGGTTGGTTGGTTTAGTTTTTTGAGACAGGGTTTCTCTGTGTATATTCCTGGCTGTCCTGGACGTCACTCTGTAGACCAGGCTAGCCTCAGATTCAGAGACCTACTCTGCCTGTCTCTGCCTTCCAAGTGCTGGGATTAAAGGCGTGTGCCATCACCGCCCAGCAAGTCATGAGTTCTTATTAAAAAAAAAAATTAAAAGAAAGGAAAAGGGTTATTAACTCGGTTAGAGTAAAGATAGTCAGTTTCCTGCCTCCCTGTGACTTAGACACTTATCTTATTCATTGTAAACCTGGCAAGAGTTCTCAGGAAACACCCCGTGGTCTATCTAGGTCCCTTTAAGGTAGTAGCTTAAAAACCCACCAAAGTCCTGTATCTACGGCTGTGGGAAAGGCCCCCACACTCGGGGGCATCTCACTCTGTCCAAGGGCCTCTCTTTCTTGTAGCCTTATGTGTCAATCTATATTAAAATTTCTTTTTCACTATTATTTGATTTTATATATGTATATGCTGAATTGAAGGCATTTTCACCCCTCTATATTAAAATATCTTTATTAACTCATCAAAAAAAAAACCCCCACACAAACAAAAAAAGAAACGTAGTAGCCAGATGCGACGGTAATACTAGCGCTTGGGGTAACTATGAGGCAGGAGAGTGTTGAGCGCAAGGCCAGCAATAAGTACATAGTAAGATACTGATTCAAAAAGCAAACAGGAAGAGGGCCGTGCCGCAGGGACCCACACATTGTAAAGAGTCAATAAAGATCAGCTACTCGATGCTTTGTTGTTCCTGACAAGCTTAAATACTAAATTTAAGGGCGGTATGACTAACAAGCATATGAAATTGGATTTTTGTTGTTGCTTTCTGGTTGGTTTTGTTTTTGTTTTCCAGACAAGGTTTCATGGAGCCCATGCTGGCTTCAGATTTGATGAAGCTAAGGATGACCTTGAACCTCTCATGCCCAAGCCTCCATCTCCCACGTGCTGGGATTGCAGGCTGGCACAGGTGTACTGGACTATACCACACTCTACCAGCTGAGCTCCGTTGCCAGTCCCGTGTTAGTTTTTTGTTCATTGGAAGCAGTGAGAGTCAGAGAGGGCAAAGCTTAAGACAGTGAGACCAGGAAAAGCCATGCCTCTTTAAGGTATAATTACATATGAGCTGGAGTAAACAGACTCATTTCCAGTTCTGTGACTGTATCGGTTTCCTAAGAATCCTGTGGGGGATTAACCGCAAACTCTGTGGTTTAAAACAAGGGGAACTTCTATGACAGTTCTGGAGGCCAAAAGTCTGGAACCTTTTTTTGTCTGCCTACTGTAAAATAGTTTGGTTTGTTGATGGTAGTAGTTTTTTGTTTGTTTGTTTATGATATAGTTACATGGATTGATTGCTCTTTTCATATCAAGGGTCTGAATGTTAAAGTCATGATTTGAAATCCTTTCTTCACACCTGAGTCAAAGAGGAACTTACCTATGGTTCTTTCTAGTATCTGTGGAATCTCACTTGAAATCCACGTCTCTGGTTCATTTGGTGTTTACTTTCTTATATGCTATGAATATGATTTATGTCTGCTACACACCTATCCAGTTTATTCCAATAGGGCATGTGAAAAAGATCATCTTTGGAGCAGGGTATGGTGGTGCATGTCTGTAATCCAGCACTGGGGAATCCGAGGCAGAAAGATCACTGCCAGTATAAGGCCAGCCTTGGCTCCATTGTGAGTTCTAGGCTAACCTGGGCTGTATAGTGAAGCCCTGTTTCAACAAAAGGAAAAGAAAGAAGCTCCCTTTGCTCTCAGGATTACAGGTATCGCCTTCAGCATCCACTGGAGGCTTGTTAAGTGGCTCTGTCACTTCTTGACCCAGTCCATCCACCAGCCTATTTGTCTAGTGGCTTGCAGTGCTTGTGACCCCAGCTGCTTCAGAGTGTGACCCCAGCTGCTTCAGAGTGTAAATGTCTATCAGCGCTGGTCCCTACCTCAGTGTTGTCGTAGCTAAGTTTGTGCACTTCCCACATGAACTTAAACACACACCATGTCTCCTTTTTAAGTTTCTTTCTTTCCTTCTTTCCTTTTTTCCTCCCTTCCTTCTTTTCTCTTTTGTTGTTGCTGTTTTTCATTCTTCTCTGTCTGCCACTCGCTTGTTTACTGGGGGTTAAACGCAGGGCCTGATGCATCCTTGACGAGTCCTCTATAAATGAGCCACATCCCTAGCCTTAGCCTGGTCTTTAAAAGTGATCTTGGGGCCAGGCATGGTGGTTCACACCTTTAATCCCAGCACTCCGAAGGTTGAGATAGTCATGTCATTGTGAGTTCGAGGTCACCCTGGTTTTCACAGTGAGTTCCAGGTCAAGCCAGGGCTACACAGTGAGACCCGGTCTCAAACACTGAGTATTGTGGAAGAAACGGAGTAAGCCAGCTAAGGCAAACAGTCCAAGCTGCCATGTGAAGATGCTCCTGGTGCTGAGCCCACCTATCATCTCAGCACTTGGTGGGCTGAGTCAAGAGGCCTGAAGGAGGGCAGCCTAGGCTACATAGGGAGACACTGTTGGGAAAGAAGGAAAGGGGAATGGGGTGGGGGGGGAGGGAGGTGGGGGAAGGGAAGAAGACGAGGGAAGGGGAGAAAAGGGAGGGAAGGGAGGGCAAGGGAAGAGGAAGGAGAAAAGGGAAGAAAAAGAAAAGAAAAGAAAGGAAGGAAAATAAGAAAGCAACTTTGTGCCCAGACCAGTACGCGCAGAAGCACAGAGAAAATGGAGAGTAAGGGGGGCTGGAATAGCGGGGTCCGGGGACTAGAACCACAGGTCCCAAGCACCAGGCCCTGGATGCCATGGGAAGGAGGAGAAGGGACCTCAGAGAGATAGACTGAAGGCTGCACAGGGCAGGTCCCCATCCAGATCTTTGCGATCCTGGGAACCCTCACCTGAAGCTGAGTTTTGCCTCAGTGCCAACGTGTGCCTACTAAAGTTCTGATGGTGAACTTGGTGCGGTGGCTAACACCTGTACTTGTGGCACTCAGACGCTGAGGCTGGAGGATTGCCATGAGTTGAAGCCTGATCTTGGTTATATAGTGAATTCCAGACCAGTTTTAGCTAAAGAGTAAGAGCCTGTCTCAAAGCAAAAACTGAAAATGTGAGGTGTGGTGGGTACTCCTGTCATCCTGGTACTTGGGCAGTAGAAGCAGGGGGATCAGGAATTCAAGGCCAGTCTCAGTTACATATCAAGTGTGGGGCCCTGTTTCAAATAAAAAATAAAAATAAACCTGATAGTGAAGGTCTCCTATGTCTCCAGATCCTGGTCCTTCAGAATGGCCACCTTTTTACATCATGCCCTTTTCAGGAATGATCAGAGTTTAAAAAAAGTCCAACAGCAGCTACTCGCCATAGGAGGCTCTTGAGTCCTTATGACGTAGATGGTACAGCTGAGTCATTACATTTCATTTTAATGCACTTAAACTTAAGATGATAGCAGTGTGTTCTTCCACTAGGCCCAACTTGATTGTGGGGGGGGGGGGAGTTCAGGGGTTGGGTCTGCTTTCACCCAGCATGGGGTAAGAGTCCCTTGTTGTATGGCTGCGTGTGTTCATTTCACTGTTTTGAACAGGGATGTCACAACATTTTCATGAGTATGCAACTCACAACTGTGATTCTGTTTGACAGCAGTGTGGTCTTAGGGCACCACGTGGCAGCCATCCCTAACCTTCAGAGTTGCCCTTGAACGAACTCCAGGTCCTTATTTATGTACAGTAAGCACTGATGGAAAGACCTCAGGAGGCACCCGGATTCTGCGCAGTACCCAGTGTGCCCCTTCTCCAAGCTGATCTTTCTGGGGCTGGAGAGCGGTGGGTGGGGTGTGGGGGGGGAGAGAACCCCGCCTGCCACTGTGACATCACAGAGCCAAGTCATAGAAACCCACCACCACCCAAGCCTCTGTCCTGCCTGGAGGACATTCATCCCCTCGCAACTCACCGCATACCACCTCCCCCCTCTGCTGGCAAGAGGGGACCTGGTGAATCCTCTCCCTCGACACCCAAGTCACGCAACTGAGTAACAACCATCAGAGAAGAGACTGAAGCACCTTTGTTTCAGAACTTCTACAGTGAATGAACAATTCCTCTCAGCTGACTCAAAATGTTTGTCTCACCCCGGAGGTAGGTACACGGCCTTTGGAAATTTTGTGAATACTGATCAATTAACTTCACTATTTGAGCCTCGGATTTAGTGGCATGATTCACACCTGGGGTCGGTGGGGTGGGGCGGGCCAGCATAGGGTTACTGGGCAGTGGGTAAGTGTTCAAAAAGCCAAGATAACCTAAGAAAGAGGCATTCCTGAGACTGTGGGGCAGAACTTAAAGCTCTCAAGCCAGCAATGTAGTCTCCTGGCGGCTCCCCAGTTCAGAAGAAGTCACAGAGCTCACGATCAGCTGGAGAGCCCTTTTGAGCACGGTAGTAAAAACCAGTCAGAGTTTGAAACTTTATTATCTTTTTTCATTGGTTCTTTAGAGTGGGGACAGCGAGGTTACCGGGGAATCCGTTTGCTAGCATGGACCTAAGAGGTATAAAGTACAGAACACTTGAACCCTTGCCTCCTTCTGGAGGCGGCTCCCTGATGTGACTGCAATCCGTGACTTTTCTTTTTTGAAGGTTCCTGGCTGCCCTGTGCTGGGTGGCACTTTAGTTTGAGTGGGGTCAGCCTTCCAGGGTTTGCAGGTTTGAACGTCCACTCCACCATGTCTACATTTGAGATCTGGGGCCATGTCAGACTGAATTCGAGCCCTCACTTATACAATAGAGACAGACGCCGCCTCTGAACCTGGCCGGGTGTGGGGACCTAGGGAGCCATTAGCGAAGCGTCTAGCCCCTAGCCTGGTAGCTCGGACGGTTTTTCCTTAGATTCCCTTTCCTTCCACCTCTTTAGATCTTCAGAGCAAAACTGTAGAGGACTCCCCACCTCCCCCGTCACCCCTTGGGGAAGCAGGTAGGTAAACGCTAGACCTCAGATGTGTTGAGGGGGTCGTGTTCCTAGCCTCACCTCTTGCACCTCCAGAACGAGGCAGGCCTACCTTACCCTCCCAACAGAAGGGGTTCGGGGACCTGCATCTCTGGGGGACAGAGAAAAGCTTGACTTTGGATTTGGCAGAAAGCAGGTAGGTCCTCACGCCTTGTACAGGGTGTGAGGAATTTACCCTAGGATCCAGTCTCTTCCCTGGGCCGGTCCTCGCCTGCATCATGGGAGGCCAGCGGGTCGCAGGGACCCACCCAAGGAAGAAAAAGAGGAAGAAACCTCGTGGTTCCCTGCCACACCCGTCCTGGAAGTCCCAAGCGCCCGCAGCGCAAGGGCGGGGCCTAGCCAAACAATTCAAAACAGGCTTCTGGTGCGTCGCCGTGGCAACCACGCCCGCTGCTAGGCAACTGGGGCGCCGTAGTAAACGCTGCCAGCGTTACTCATTGGGCGAAGCTCGATGGGAATCTCATCCGACTCAGGCACCGAGGCAGAGGGTGGAGACTAGGGGAAATGGGGAAGGAAACGATGAGGCCGGCGAGGGGGCGCGCTGCTGAGGTGGAAAGGGGTGACCCTGCATTGTGGAGAGCAGCATCCTGGACACCCCGCTTCCCCATTGAATCCTCTGCAGTCCTCTGGCAACCCGGGCCAGCCCTGAGCAGTCACTCGCTCGAGAGATTGCCCCACAGGAAATGCAGATGTGGCTGTCCCTCTGATTCACGCCAGAGGCTTGGGGCATGGAAGAAAGGCTGGGGCTTCCTCTCCTGGAAATGACTGCTGTAGCAAAAGCCTTCTAAGGATTCCAGGACAAAGTGCAAAGGAAAAGGCTCTAGGAAGGCTCTAAGTCTTTTCCTTTGGCCCTTCCCACTGAACATAAGAGAGTTCCCAGTACTCGTGGCCCACCTTAGGAGCACTTGAGGTTAAGCAGGTACAGATGAGAACAGGGGTCCAGAGTTGAACACAACACAGGCATTTGGAAGGTCATATATGTCCTCTGGGAAACCTTGGTCTCATCAATGAAGTTCGAGGACCCACAGTCTAATTAAGCCTCAGAAGGCTCGAGCCACGTCAAAATGATCCTAATCTGTAGGGAACCACCCCTCTTGAAAAGGACAGAACATTTCCGACCTGTCACAGTTTTGAGTGATGTTTGTCCTCTGGTCAGAGTAAAGATAATACTGGTTATGAGATCATCGCTATTTTCTGAGCCTTTGCTCACGGAAAGCAGGGCTGTTCCCACAGGTGGGAGGAAATGTCTGTGCGGAAGGGCCCCTGGTGTGACCCTGGTCCTCTGGGGTCCTTTTTGTGGCTCCCGGGTGCTTTTGTGGGTGAATGGGGAAGAGTGGCGTGTGCTTGAAGCTATTTGGACACGTGTCTGTGTTCATGTCTTTGCCCATCGGTTTCCCAATGGTGCCTTACAAAACTTTTGTTCACGGAAGTGAAGGCCGCAGTGGAGTCACCATGTGTAAAACATGGCCGGTTATACTGCATGCGCTGCCTAAGAATCGAATGAGAAGAACAAAGTCATAAGGCCCGTGATGAGATACACGGAAGCTGATGAGCTACTCACGTGGAAGGTGTCACCTGTCAGGAAGTGGAGGGGCAGAAAGTAGAGCTGTCTGTCCATCAGCCAGGGACAGACAAAGCGCTTTGTTTAATTCCCCCCTGGCCTTTTGCTCGTTGAGTAACACAAAGGAGTTACTTAATGGGGCCATGGGTCCAGAATTCTGGCCCCTGGGAGGACAGAGAAACTCTCACCAGGCAGGGCAAACAAGATGTCTAAGTGGATGCCTCGGGGAATGACGATACTGGATCCTTAGCCCCAGGCTCCTGGGTTAGGGGAGAGGTGAGCACCTGCTCTTGCTCAGTACCCTGGATCACCTCTGATCTGCTGCGTACTTGAAACGCTCTAAATTGAATTTCTGCCCACGGAGTATGTGTGACCCAAGACCAAACCATTTCTCTTGGTGCATATCTAGTAGAAAATGGTTTCACTGAGTGCAGTGAAGTGTGACCGAGGAGCAGGCCTTGGTATTGTGATGTCACAAATAGTGAAGTCACCCCAGAATCATTAACAGTCCCACATACCAAGATTAAATACTGTATTGAGATGCGGGATATTCCTCTCTCTACTGAGCTGTGAGCTTTTGAGTCAAGCCTAATTATTTTTGTTACGTTGACCAGCAATTACCTTTTCTGTTCTGAGAGAGGAGAGGAAAGGGGTGCGGATATAGCAAGCACAAATTACAATGAAAGGAAGTAAATGAGATGCTGGGTTCCGACTTTTTGTGGCAAGGCACAGAAACTCGTGCTTTTGTCAAGAGGAAACTGGACATTGGGGCCCAAGGTCCTCGGGGAGAGGGAGCTAAGACTGGTCACCCAGGCACCCACATAAATTGCACAGTGTAGGAATGGGCAGACCAGAGTTGCTGCGGAGACCTACACTAGTATTTTGAAAACCTTCTTTAAGGAAAACAATGTAAAAGTATAAGTTCGGATTGGGCAGCAGGTCCTTGGAAGCAGCCCAAGGGTCCAGGAGGTGGGATTTCATTAGCTTCGCTCTAAACCCACCGCTAGGCCTCCTCGCCTGCCACTCCCATCCCCTTTTCCCTGAAGAAGGCAAACTTCAGGCTATTAAGGCTTCGGGGGTGCGGTTTATGAGCAGAGCAATAAAAACCAAAGACACGGTGCTGTGCCAAGCAGTGACTCAAGGCGGGATATGAGACGTGTCTCCAAGAATTTGAAGGGTGGAAGCAGAGTGAAAAGAATTGGTCACTTCTAGGGTGGAGAGAGAATAAGGATACAATTAAAGAGAGAAAAATGTGCACAAAACTCATCAGGAAATGTTGGCTAACTGTATTTTCTGATACTGCGATGCTGTTTCCCATGGGAGCCATTTGAGGATCTGTTGAGTCACTGAGAACTGGAACTAGCCACCAAAAAATGTACTATAGGAAATAATCCTATGAAAGGTCCTCCCAGGAGTGGCTGGACGCCCCAAAGTTCATTCTAAGTCCTGAATTCCATAAGGCTGACACATGGCAGTCTGCAGATTCCTATTTGGGGTGAATGCCAAGTGAAGGAAAGGGAGCAGTTGTAAAGAGAAAAGTAGCCACCTCCACCCACAGTTTGCTGACTGGTAGGGAAGGAAAGGGCAGAAGAGAAGAAAACATAAGGGTGTAGCGCCGCCCAGCGGCTTGAGGAAGCCATGCAGCCAGGAAATCAGCCACAAAATTCTTGTCTCCTTCTCCCAAAGCAGAATGACTTGTGTCACAATGAATAAAGGGTGATAGGGTGATAACACATCCAAGGGCCAGCAAGATGGCTCAGCTGGTAGACAGGCTTGCCTCCAAGCCTGACAACCTGAGTTTGATTTCCTGGAACCCACATGATAGAAAAAGAGAACCAACTCCTCCCAGAGACAGACGTCTTCCATACCGCTGCTACACACACACACACACACACACACACACACACACACACACACACACACACACACTGAAAGTAAAAAGAAGAGAAAAAAGTTACAATAGAGGCACAATGGAAGAAAGACAGAAAGGAGAAAATCATTTTCAAAGAACAAACGACTTTTTCCACTCATTCAAAGGGGCAGTGGTGGCACACACCTTAATCCCAGCTCTTGGGAGACAGAGGCAGGTGGATCTTTGAGTTTGAGACAGTCTGGTCTATATGACCCAGGACAGCCAGGGCTACACAAAGAATCCCTGTCTCAAAAAAAATTATTCTGGGTAGAAGAAAAAGAACAGCTGCTGCAAAATATCAATTAAAATATCAATTAGTACAATTCTGAGGACAGAAAGAATAACGTGTGCTTCTAGTGACTGGCAAGAAGATGGTGATCCACCCCTTAATGTTTAGTTGGGTTCATCATCATCATCATTATTGAAACTTGTTTTGGGGAGAGTTGGGAAAGAATAGTGGGCATTACACACCCATCACGTTGCTGACCCTAGCTGGAGCATATCCCCAGATCTCCAGTCCTGTCCCATGCCATCCTCATCCAACACACTCAACATCACACATGGAGAGAAGCAAAAGTTTATGAACCACCTAGAAGGTGGAAACCACACACAGAACAAGCCTAAAGCTGTTTCCTAGGGGAGGCTGTGAAGTAATGACAGTGAACTTATAGATTTGTGTATTATAAAAATAAAATTCGAGCCCCAACCAGTCATACCACTTACCTAGGGAACAATGGGTAGGGACACATAAACCACCCTTTCCTTTTTACAGAAAGTCCCCTCTGCAAATGCAGGTCCGTGCCACTCGGCACTGAATCCCAGGTCCCCGATTGGCAAGTTCTCTGGCATAATCTCCAAGAACAGCTGGGCTGTGATTGCACCGTCAACTATTAAATGGCTGCGTTCACTGCACAGCAGCATTTAATCAAGAGGCATGCCATAAGCTATGAGCTAGAAGGGGGGAGGTGGGAAGGCAAGGGAGGAGGGAGGGAACTCAGCTTTCACTCTTGCTACACCGCACCAAAGAGACTTGGACAGATGACGTCCTTCCATCCTTCCAGACAGGCTACAAGATGCTGACCATGGGCAAGGTAACCAGCTTCCCCATTTTATGTCACAGGAGAGACCTTTAGACCTCATCACCCGGCTGTCCTTCTTATGAGACACTAATGCTGTGTTTTTCTGTTAGTGTACTTTGCTGTGAGCGTGGCTGCCATAGTGGTACCTACGGAACTTCTACTCTGACTCTTGTCTAGAAAGTAGAGTCACCTTGGTAAGGCAGAGCTTTCTTTACGCTGTGTCACTCAGTCTAGAGTCACTGTAAGGAAACTTGTGAAATGAGCATTCTTCTTCCAACTTGAGTAAGGCCTGGGACAAAGGATGTGTCATGGTGGACGATGATTCTTGAGAAGGCTCCTGAATGAGATGTCAGTTTAACTATCTGGGGTGGAGGAAGCTCGGTATCGTGCTCCCCTAGCAAGGGAAGTCCTGAACACTGGGGCACACACCTGCAATTCTAGCACTTGAGAGATGGAGGCAGGAGGGGCTGCAGTTCAAGGTCAACCTCTAGGTGTAGAGCCTCTAGTGGGGTTGAGGTCACAAACTACGTGAGACCCTTGTCTCCACAAGCGGAGAAGGAAGAGGGTGTGGTGGTGGTTATTTCAGCAAACAGTCTGGAGTCAGTTCAAGTTGGTGATCCTTTGTTTCTCAAATCATATCTTCCATAATTCACTTGTCATCATGGTTGGGGCCACAGGTATATGTAAGCCTTAATATTATTTTTTATATCTGAATAATCTGAAGGAACATATAGGTATATACATAACTTGAAACGGATTAAATATAAAGCCAAGATATGTTCTTAATCAACTAAGACTGAATAGCGCTATTAAAATTGAACCCTGAAGTGAGAGATTTGGAACTGCCTAGATCCTCAGTTTGGTCTTTTTATAGAATAATTAGTGAAGATGCTTTACCTGCAAGTTCACTTCATGTTCAAGCAACGGATGTCAGATAATTAGAAAGGACACCCACCACAGAGATGTCTCTGAATCAAGTGTAATGCCACAGTTTTCACAGGAGTTAAGATACGGAACAAACCTATGTGACTGCCAATACATGAGTAAGAAAAAGTTGCTGTACATAATGGGATTTTAGTGATCTGTAAAGAAAAATCATGGAAATTTCAGGGGAGTAGATAAAGTGGAAAAATATATGAGGTGAAATAAGCCAAACGGGGTGGGGGGCACGACTTAAAAGTAGCTTTTAATTTTTGAATATGTCTATACGTACGGGAGTATCATGGGCAATGAAGGGGCCATGAGAAGGGGAGAAGATCTAAACAGGAGGAAGGATGGGAAATAGAATAAAAAGGACTCGTGAGGGAGGGGCTGGTGGCAGTGAGCAGTGGGGTAGGGACCAAGTCCCAGAAGGGCAAAGAGAAAATGCCACTGTGACACCCACTGCTGTGCTTGCTAATTTTATAAAACTGATGAGTAAAACAATCAGGAAGGGAAACTCCCAGCACTGGAGTGAGGGTGGAAGCCAATAGCTTTTGGAACTAAAAAGAAGAGACCATCTTTGAGCAGTGAAACAGGGCAGTCACAATAGACTCTGGCAGCCGAGATCCCTCCTGCTCCTAGATGGTGTGACATTTGTCCTCAGTCAAGGTCACTCAGAGTCTTGCAAAGGCTGGCATTTCATTCATTCTTCTGTTTTGTATATGGATATTTGTATAATGGCCACCTTCATGTTTGTTACTGGCCCAGATAACACATGTGTGTGGTATGCACTGAGTTCATCCCTAGAGATTCTGAAGAACAAAGGGCCAAAGTTGTAAACTGTTACATAGATTCCGCTAAGCTGGGGTAACGGGAAGGTTGCTGGGTCTGCGTATTTGCCTGGGATGTTATTTCCATCTCTTAAGCTAAGCAGATTGAGGTCTGATTAATTCTGGTAGGAGAGATCCCATGAAAGCTCAAGATGTTTTGCTTTAAGAACCATCTGGAAGCTAAGCATGAGCTTCCTCTCTTTCCCCAAGTACTAAAGAACCCTACAATGCTCAAGACTGGTCATGGTTATTTTCAATCCAAATCACATGATGAGGTTGACAAGGTCAACGCTGATCTTTGTTTCTGAGACAGGATTTGATGTAGCACAGGCTGGCTTCAAAGTCACTAAGTAGCTGGGAATAATCTTCCTGCCTGCATCTCTCATGTGCTGGGACCACAGGTATGCACCACCACAATGGGTTTATATTGTGTTGGGATCAAACCTGGGATTCACGGGTACTAAGCAAACACTCTCAAAATGAGCTACAAACCCTCTGTCATCTTTTATCCTGAAGGCATCAAATTTCCCTCTGCTTCCCCTGGGGTGGTGCAACTTGATAATAGATAAACACCATAGAGTTATATTCCGCTATAAAGAAAAAAAAACTTCCTACGTTATTTACAGAAAATAAGTGAAACTGGTGAGCAACTTGGTAAGCGAAATAAACCAGACTCAGAAAGGCACATGCTTCATGGTTTCTCATTTATGTAAATACATATGCATGAATGTGGAAGGGGAACCATTGGGAGAGGAGGGCATCAGAGAGGATGAAGGGGGCGGGACAAATAACGCATGCTTTCTCTTAAATACAGAATTTAGATTGAACGGTGCGTACTACACATGACATGGAAGCAGGCACAATAGCATTATTTAGGGAACAGAAAGGAACCAGCACGAGAGAAGGGACAAGGAAGGGATAGAGAGTGCAAATACGAGCAAAATCGTGATGCACGTGTATGAAACTATTAGCACAAACCCACCATTTTATACACGAGTAAGTAATTACTAAAAGTACCCAGAAAGAAACGGAGCAACTCAGAGCATTTGCAGTGAGCCAGCCTTGTTTCCTTGCTGCCTCTGCCTGAGGATACATGCTGTAAGTGGGGTCCTGGGGGGTCTCCCACCCAGAGGCGCATGCACAAATTCCATGGGGCTTGCCAGCCAGAGGCCAGGCTAGCACGATGCTTGCTAGCCCTCTGAAGCAGACGGGTGTGACACCCCCCTGCTCACGCTCACGCCCAGCTCACTCGACGTCCGTATCCCGCGTGATACTGTCTCCCTTCTGGTTTCACCTCCATCCCTCTGTAAACCTGTCCAGTGTGTATCTGGCCATCACCTGCCTGTGTAAATTACTGCTGCTCTAAAAGTCACACGGGGTTCGGTGTCAATGAGCACCATCACTACAGGGCTTGCTCCTGGCCACATTGAAGCTCAGCTTCCCCGGGGGCTCCTGGAGGAAGCGCTCAAGTGGCAGGCTGTGGTCCTCAGCGTTGAGGGCAAGGGGAGAGAATGAGGCCTAAGAGTGTGCTCTCGGGCTGTCTCCTCATCCCCTCTCATCCCCTCTTGTGTGTTGCAGATGGAGCTCCAGAAGGCTTCCCCTGTCCAACGGACCCTCGTTTCTGCCGTCCTCACCATGCTATCACTCGGCCTCTCAACAGCATCCCTGCTCAGCAACGAATGGTTTGTGGGCACACAGAAGGTGCCCGAGCCCCTGTGCGGGCAAGGTCTGGCAGCCGAGTGCTTTGGCATGCCGATGTCCTTGGATGGGGTCGTCACCAACACATCAGCCCAGGCGGTGGTACAATCCACCTGGCAGGCTGGGGATGACCGGTTCTCCTTCCTTACCTTCCGCAGTGGCATGTGGCTATCCTGTGAGGAAACCATGGAAGGGCCAGGTAATGTCCTCGCCCCAGCTACGCCGGGTGTGTACGAGGGCATGCACACACGTGTGGAGGTTGGGGGGGGGCGCAGTGTGCAGGGATCCAGTCTCTCCTCCCGGCATGTGGATCCAGGGGATCAACCTCAGGTAGTCAGATTTGTCCAGCGTGCACCTTTACCCACTGAGCCGTCTCATTTAAAAGAATGTTTATTGAGACATTACCTCACTCTATGGCCCAGGCTGTCCTAGAACTCACTCTGTAGCTCTGGCTGACTTAGAAGTTGCTGCAATCCACCTGCCTTGGCTTCTTGGGTACTCATACTATGGAGATGAGACACCACGCCAGGCTAGGGCAGGGAATTTTTTTGAGTCTTATGCAGACAAAGAAACCCCATTAGGCCTGAGGAGTCAGAGCAGCTGTGGGAAAGCCTACACCTTCCCAAACCCTGATGGGCCTCATGCCCAAACCCCACTTCCTATTATCTCTTCTCCGAGACCCCTTTTAACAAAGTCAGAAGTCCCGGAGGCTCTTCAGCTCCTCCAGCTTCAGCTGACCCATTTTAACGAAGCTTTTGGGCCTGTCACATTGGAATCATTAGAACCTTCATGCTAGTGGGCTACAGTTGCTGCTTAGGAACAACCTTGGCTCTGCCCAGCTGGACCTCATATGAATAACTTCATTTCCATAGGCCTTGATTTTCCTGTTAGGTCAAAGGGGCCGAGGTGGATCACCTCTAAAGCCTCTTTCCTTCCAGGCTTGGGATTAGCGTTTCAATTTAAAAGGTATAGAACCAACATTCCAGAGGCTGAGGCGTGAAGATCCTGGGGAGCATCCTGGACTATCTAGTTAGACCACCTCAGAAACCCAAGGGTTGGAGACGTAGTGCTGTGGTTAGCATGTGTTAGCCCTGTTTTTAGCACCAAAGATAGGTATATCCTGCCTCCATCTCTTATTCCTGATTCAGAATATTTAAGTCACAGTGGAGCCTAGGAAGAGACTATATGAGGGTGATGTATTTTCTAAAAGCTGAGATCATATTCAACTTTATACTGAAATTTCTACAAAGTGGGCTTAAAGGAAAAGACACAGAAGAGAAATAAAAATGGGTGGGGAGAGGCAGAAGAGAGAGTGAGAAAGTTTGAGAACACATACATATTATCTGTAGCTTTGTGTCACCTAACACCGGCAAAGTCGCAGCTCTGCAAAAACAGTTTAGAGCCATTTTGGTCCAGCAGCAAAGTGTGTTAGCATGGACACAGGAAATTGGAACTCTGCCCTACAAAGATGCTCTCAGGAAAACATTATCTTCATAATCAGAGATGAAAGCCAGAAAAAAAAACGAATCTTGGATGCCTTATTCATGGGTGCATTTCCTCCTGCTGAACAAAATGGGTCACCAACCGAACAAAATAGGACACCAACTGAGTGAAGGGGCTACTTGTGTGCTCCTCAGGGGCAGCCAGAGCAAATGGAGCAGGGCTGAGTGTGGGGTGGGGTATCTCTACCCCACAGCCCCAGGAGGTCCTTATGGCATTGACCCTTGTGTGTTCCTTATGATGATGACCCTTGTGTGTCTTAGGGGAGAAGTGCCGAAGCTTCATTGAACTCACACCACCAGCCCAGAGAGGTGAGAAAGGACTACTGGAATTTGCCACGTTGCAAGGCTCATATCACCCCACTCTCCGATTTGGAGGGGAGTGGTTGATGGAGAAGGCCTCCCTCCTCCACCTCCCCTTGGGGCCCATGGCAAGTACGTGTTCAGTAACGGGAGACCCGGGCCTTTCTGGATCTAAACTGCTGTGACCTTCCTTTCTGGATCTAAACTGCTGTGACCTTCTTCCTCTACCTCTGAGCCCCACAGGTTGATAGGAATCCCTCCTAAATATACACTCATGCATATGTGAGAGTGCAGCTCACAAGTCAGTCACCAGCGCCCGGCCCAGACACAAGCTGAAGATTGTGGCCTTCTTCTCTCGTATTATTACTGGGGGGGGGGGGTTGGCTTTAGTTTTTGTTTCCTTGAGATGGGGTCTCTTTGTAGCTGGGCTAGCCTTGAGAAACCATTCTTCCTGCCTCTACCACCCTACTAGTGGGATTATGGGTAGAGGCTGCCTTGTCCAATGTGTTTTGATAAAAGAGAAGAAGTGAGAGGCCGGGAGGATAAATACTCAAGCCCTGATTAAAGAGAAAGACAAGAATGATGATTGGCACAGGACTAATGAAAATGAAGTGATCTGTTTGACAACTAAGCTTAGCAGTCTTTACAGCCCATCATGGTGATGCTGGTTCTTCACAGCCACCACTGGGTGCTGACTCCACCTTTCTCTGTCTCCTCCTGTTCCTCTGGGCCTCTGACTTCTGGTGGGCACTTGTGTCTACAGTGGTTACTAACTGCTGTCTGGGTGGCGTTCCTTTTCCTGGCTTCTTGCAGAAGTCCTCTGGTTATCACTGGGTACCCAAATTGCCTACATCGGACTTCAATTCATCAGCTTCCTCCTGCTACTGATAGATCTGCTGCTCACCAGTAACCCTGGCTGTGGGCTCAAGCTGAGCGCGTTTTCTGCCATCTCCTTGGTCCTGTCAGGTGAGTGACCTGAAGTGGCAAAAGGTGGTTCCTCATGGGGCTCCTTGGGATATTTTGTGGTTGTTTTGCTTTGTTCATACTGTGAGATGACCTAGGGCCTTCCTGTGTAGACTAGGCTAGGTTAGACTCACTATATAGCTAGCTGACTGGCTTCGAGCTTGGAGCTGGGATTAGAGGTGTACATCACCATGACTTGGCTCAAAGGGGTCCCTCTGAAGTACCACCTTCAAGGCTTGGGTCTTTGTCCTTGATGAGAGGCAGAAGGGACTAGTGAAGGGATAAATAAAAAGGAATCAGTAGTGGGTACCTTTCAGCGGGGCCTGCCAATACAACCAGGAGACAAGAAGAGTAGAGGGTTGAAGATTGTGAGAAGGCTCAGTGGGTAAGAACTCTTGTTGGGGATCTAAGTCAGAATCTCACACCCACACAAAAAGCTGGGCATGGCCACTTGTACCTGGAAGCCCAAGTCTGGGTGTGGGAGTATCAGGAAGATCTTTAGGTTTGCTGGTCAGCTTGCCTAGGCAAAACACAGTGAGCTCGATTCAGTAAGAAACCCTGTCTCACAAGACGGAAAACAACAGAGGACAACCCGACAGCCTCTGTACTTACGTGCAGGTTCTTGCACACGCTCACTTACACACATGCCTACAACCACACACAGAGAGAGGCAGCAGAAGACACTATAAAACTCTACCGTTATGTGCTCTTACTTCTAGGTTCCTTTATTTGCAAGCTTTCTCAACATGTAAAGCCTTTGGCTTGGTTTACTTTGCAACTGTAATGTATAGCTTTTCCACAGTCACTGTTGAACAAAATTGAAAGCAAAATAAGATTTTACACACACACACACACACACACACACACACACAGTGAAGTGAAGTTTAAATGGTAGGAAGAAGTAAAAATGAGCAACAGCCATGAGAGACTGACTCTGATTTTGCCACAGCTCTCAGCCAAAAGTTTGGGGTAATCATTGTAAAAATAGGCATGCAAGAAGACACCCCTCCCCTAGATTAGTTTCCCAGGAAATGTGATGGCAAAGGAGTCATGGATGCCCTGACATAGACTGACCCAGATGCCAACAGATAGATGCCATGCAGCCTTCTGCAAGGCCTCTGCCTTTTGTTCCCTGCATAGGCCTTCTGGGGATGGTGGCCCATATGATGTATTCACAAGTCTTCCAGGCAACTGCCAACTTAGGTCTTTTGTTCCCTGCATAGGCCTTCTGGGGATGGTGGCCCATATGATGTATTCACAAGTCTTCCAGGCAACTGCCAACTTAGGTCCGGACGACTGGAGACCACATTCGTGGAATTATGGCTGGGCTTTCTAGTGAGTACTCCTCATCCCCTGAACCTTCACAACCCATCACCAGCCACCAGGCACAGGATTTTCTACCCCCGGCTGGATGTACCTTCCCATGTTCTCCTCCTCCTCCAGTCCACTGCAGGGCTGGACCAGAGGGACATCTACTCCCTGCCTGCCTTCAGAGGGTGCATAGAACATTCTTGCTTGCTTTGAGGATGCAACTGGACCCGTTTTTCTGCTCAGCAGCTGTAATTAGTTGCTTCTTTGTCTGACCTACAAACTGTCCTTGAGTAACAAAGCTATGGGAACTATGCTATATGTTCCATATTTTATAATTTTGGGTATTAGAGAAGTGAACAATAATTATAACCTTGAAATTAGGTTTGAATTCCATCTGACTTATTGATGGTCCTCAATGGAAATCTCTTTCACTCATTATATACTCCCTTATTCCAAGAGTAACTTCTTACTAACTCCAGATTTTAGTCTTAATTCTCCTGAACTGCTAGAAGTAAACTGCATGGCATCAGCTGTCATCACCTTCAACACATCCATGAGGACAGTGCTAGAGCTCAGTGTAGACGGACACAGGAAGTGCTAGAGCTCAGTGTAGACAGACACAGGAAGTGCTAGAGCTCAGTGTAGACAGACACAGGAAGTGCTAGAGCCCAGTGTAGACGGACACAGGAAGTGCTAGAGCTCAGTGTAGACGGACACAGGAAGTGCTAGAGCTCAGTGTAGACGGACACAGGAAGTGCTAGAGCTCAGTGTAGACAGACACAGGAAGTGCTAGAGCTCAGTGTAGACAGACACAGGAAGTGCTAGAGCTCAGTGTAGACAGACACAGGAAGTGCTAGAGCTCAGTGTAGACAGACACAGGAAGTGCTAGAGCTCAGTGTAGACGGACACAGGAAGTGCTTCAACCAATGCCAACCCATTGCCACACACTTCACCACTGTTTGCTTCCTCATCCTAACCTTAAAACTCGGGATTACAGGTGTACCACCTTCCACACATTCAAGCAGATCATCCTTAAGTCCCAAGTACTCTTTCCTTGGAGACCCTCCCACCTTCCGGAGTTCTTTCTCTGTTGTTTGTTTCATGCTTTTCCTTTCTCCATGCAAAGCTAACAAGCCGATTCACATCAACTCAGATAAGTTCTGAGAGCCTCGACGGCACAGAACACACCCTATGCTGGGCTCACATGTCCATCTTCGTGCAGGTGCAATGGAGGCCTTTCCACAGTGGGTCCTGCCCATGTCCCCATGCTGCCTGCAGTACAGGCTCTGCCATTGAGGACTTTACCCATCCACCAGCCCCGTGTCAGCCTTGCTGGGTTCCCCAGTCAGGCCTCCCTTTTGGCCCACTTTCAGTCTTTCTTGGCATTTGAATGGAAGGGCTGGGTGGGTAAAGCAACTACCATGGAATCATAAGGACCTGAGTTCAAATCCTGGGACCCGTGCAGAAGCCATACACAATAGCCCATGCATCTGTGATCCCAGCCCTGTGAAGAGATGGGAGGCAGAGACAGAGTTCCTGAAAGCTCATAGGCCAGTGAGCCTGTGTGCTCGGTGTCTACAACAGCAAAGGGATAACTACCCCAGACAGGGTGGGAGAGAAGGACTGACCCAAGAGGCTATACACAGACACACGGAGACACGCAGATAGACAGACACACAGAGACACGCAGACACGCAGATAGACAGACACGCAGATAGACACAGACACACAGACACGCAGATAGACAGACACACAGAGACACACAGTCACGCAGATAGACACACAGACACAGAGACATGCAGATAGCAGACACACAGACACACAGCTAGACAGACAGAGACACGCAGACAGACAGACACACCGACACACAGAGACATGCAAATAGACACACAGACATACAGATAGACACACACACATGTGCACACACATACATGAAACAGTATTTGGGGGCTCAGGCTGACAGTCTCAGCAGAATGATCACATATGGAATCCACCATCAGGGGTAACAAACAGGAACCTGCAGGACAGCCCTCTGCCTGGCTGTCATCAGCCTTTGGCCTCCAATCACCCCCTCCTATCCTCACAAACTCGTTTCCTAGGCTTCACAGAAGGGCAGGGCTGTTGGGGGGGGTGGCTTCCCAGGTCTTCAGGAATGCTTGATGTAGTTCCCTGGGGACTTCTGCCTTTCTCAGATCCACCCAGCTTCTACCCACATGCAGCTTCCACTTAAACTACCCCTTGCCAAGAACCACAGTTTTCCTGTGATCAAATTCCACTAGAGCCAAGTGCCATGCCTTCAGATCTGTAGCAAAACGTTTCATGAATGACTCTCAAAAGGCTCAACTCTGGGGACAATTAAGAATGTTGGGCAGAGGAGGGATGGCGACTCCAGAGTCAGGGTAAAGGGACCTCTTTGGCGAAGTGCATGAAGGGAAGAAAGGATGGGAGGGGGTGCATTATTTCATTCTCTCCACATAGAAGAGAGCCGGAGGTCTGTGGGATCCAGATTTTATAGGGGTAAATATACACGCCACACACGAGACATAAAAGACCATGACTGACGACTGATGGGATTAAATGCATCGAACACCTCCTGCTTATTTCGACTCCGAAACCAAGGCAGATGAAGTCCTCTGGTCTCAGTCCTTCCCAGAAACATGGCAGAAGCAACACACTCATGTTCCTAAGTGCCCCCAAAAGACAGTGCCTTGTCTGTGGCAGAACAGTTGGCATTTTTCGTTCCATAAAGCCAGTCTCTTACTGTCCCTTCTCTGTCTGCCCCTAGCACGGCCTGGGTTTCCTTCACCTGCTGCATGGCGTCGGCCGTCACCACCTTCAACGCATACACAAGGATGGTGCTGGAGTTCGAGGGCCGGCACAGGAAGAGCTTCAACCCCAACCCCAGTTGCCTCGCCCACCACCACCGCTGTTTCCTTCCCCAGCTGGCATGCGCAGCCCAGGAAGGGGAACCTCTGACCAGCCGCCATCAGTATCCCAACCATCCCATCCGCTCCGTCTCCGAAGGCATTGACCTCTACTCAGCGCTACAAGACAAGGAATTTCAACAAGGGACCAGCCAGGAGCTAACAGAAGTGGCTGGGTCATCCGTAGAAGAGCAGTGTTAGAAGTTAAGTGGGTTTGGGGAGCAGGCTAAACCCTACCATCTGTTTGCTTATTATCAACATCCGCTTAAGCAAAAGTGTCTCTTGAGTCTCGTGTTTAAAAGCTAAGAACGAGAGGACCTTAGTCCTCTCCAGAAGGGCATTGCCCTGCCCCCTTTCCCTTGACAGCCCTTTGCTCTATCCATCTCCTGTCCAAAATCCTCGTCTCTTGACTGACTGCTTAAGGCCAGTTCTGGACTAAATGCAGACAAAAAGGCAAGTGAAATACAGTTCCGCCTTTAAGGGTCTGTCTGATAAAGCTGGTCAGCTTTCCAGAGGAAACAGGCGCAAGGAATCGATGGTGGCTTACCTACGTGCACTGGGCTGTTTCTGGCAGTCAAACACAGGACGATAGGAACAATGAAGGTGCCTCGCACACTTGCACACTAGTGTCTTGGATGCTCAGTCGTTAGTGCAGTCTGACGAAATGGGCTGGTTAGGGAGCTGGTTTCTCTTCCAGAGAACCTGTGTCCAATTTCCAGTGCCCAATGCATGGCGGTAAGTCCAGCTCCAGGGGATCTCACGCCCTGTCCCAGCCTCCACAGACACTGCACACAGGGCATGCGCACACACACATACAGGCAGGCAAACCACCCAGATGCATGAAATAAATTTCATTATTAAACATGACTCTAGGAGCTGTTGGAAGGTAGTATGATATATGAAGCTTCTATAGTCTATAGGATGAGGTCACTTCTAGAATGACCTCCCAAGCTCCCAGAGGAGACTCACACAGGGGCTTCTTCCATGACTGAGACTGAGGCAAGCCTTCTTCTCTGGATACTCACTGCTCATGCATCTCAAACTGTCCCTACTGTTTCCTCCACAAAGGATGCCATCCACCTACTCACCTTCTTTTCTACAAGGGAAGTAAACCACGCTGGTTAGAGAGAAAGAGAAGAGTACACGTGTATATTCCTGTACACGGCATTTATTTGTTCTGTAACAGTTCACATTTTAAAAAGGTGCGCTCTAGCAACAGACCCGCTGGCTCCTTCTCAACACAGGTATGTGGACAGCGATTCACATTCCTGGGGTTAGTTGGTATCGCCACACGGTGTATTTGGGGGTGGTGAGGACGCCGTGCGGGGCAGAGGAGGGCTTATAAAGGAAGGAGAGGAGAGGTTGAGGAGGGAGGGAAGACCCCTGCATTGTATAGAGGCATTACTTCTAAGTGTAGTGGTCGGGCTGATTCTGTGGGTCGTCCAGTGTTGAGCAGTTCCTGCCTTGGATATCTGGGTGAGCGGCTGCAAGGAGGAGGAAGTGCGTGAGGCAGCTGACAGGAGGCCAGCACTCACACTGGTCAGATGAAGTCACCTCAGCCCTCAGCTACTTTTCCGTACCATCTACAACAGGAAGTAAGGCTAGAGTCTCCATTGCATTTAGCGAAGGAAGAGCTTCACACTTCTGGTGACTTAGTGATGCTGCCTTTGTGGCTTCCTCTTATCTGAGACTCAACTAGCATAAACAGTCTCAGCCCCAAACAGGTCTCCATTAAGCATCTTGGTGCCTTCCTTCCTTCCTTCACAGGCAGGCTTCTCAGAATATCAACACTGCAGAGAACACATTGTATCTGGGGGCTCAACCAGGCCACCGCCTACTTGATAGTTTGCTCTACTCTAATCTAGTCCTGAGAAGACTAAAAACTCTATTCAGCCCTTTTACTCATAGAAATTCAACCTACTAGAAATGAGCCTAGAGTTATCTCCAGATAACTCATTGTTCCCTCTTCCCAAAGTCAACCTGGTCCCGTATGACTACCAAATATTCTTCCAGGGTCTTACGGCAGAGGTGTCAACAAGCCTGATGAGACCAATCTGTAGGATGGACTGAGTACACCGACCTCCTGTTACCCATAACACCTATTGTGGGCAACTCATAGCCCCTTAAATCTATAGTCTAGTTTTCTGGGATCTCTTTGTTAACACAAGTTAAAATGATACCAGCCCAAGTGAGAAGAAAATCTGGTTTTCACTCAGGAAGAGAAGTACGTTTTCACTGGAAGCCATGGCAACACATGGCATATCAGACAATGATGTAGACGCTTGGAAGATTCAAAATTAAAGGCCACACATTTACAAAGAATGCAGAAGAATGCAGATAATTCTAAAGAACTTGATTATAAAAGTTACAGTATTTGCACAAGAATTTTTTCAATATAACGCTTCGAAGGCTCTAGGAGGAAGGAGGAACGCAGAGCAGAGTGGTTGCATACTGGACGTAAGAAGCAAAAGTCCAGAAACAGATCCCTGAATAGAAGAGGAAGTAAGAGAGGAGGAGATGGAGGAACTCCAGAGAAGACTCAGAGCAGAGTGGAGCTGCAGCCAGGACAAGGCCATGGGGCTTCCAACCTCGAAGCTGACCACAACGTGCATGCAAACCCTTCTGTCATGGCTGTAGAATCAAAGACCATAGCCGCGGAGCCATCACAGGGTCACATAAGGTCCTGGTCAGAGGAGTCACGGGAACTCTGTCCCTTGCTCCCTTTGAGAGAGAAACATGTCTGTTCTCATGACCACCTAACAGAGGTGGAGAGTCTAGGAGGCAGGAAGATGAATATACTGGATAACCAGCCCCATCATAACGTCCAGTGTTTCTCACTGCTGTCTAGCCTTGGGAAGGAACCACAGTACAGACAGACAGAAAACAGTGGTGAGTGGTGAGTGACCCTCAGGATTTCAGAGGTAGGCCATCCAGACACATGAAGATGACCAAATCATATGACAAGAGGACAAGAAAGAAATGGAATCCCTGAAGCTTGGGGCATATCTCAATTATGTTACAACACTGGACACACACACACACACACACACACACACACACACACACACACACACACACACACACACGGCCTAATGCAAAACACATATATCCTGCTTGCAGGCCACTGGATTTCCCAGCAAGGGTTTATAAATTAGAGGTACAAAAAAAAAAAAAAACTATAAGATTCACATTTCCAAACTGTCCACAGAGCTCCTGGGAGGAGGGGTTAGTGCAGGGACGGGAAGGTTGTGAGATCCCCAGCTAAGCCGATGACACTGCACCGCACAGCTCCAACAGGCTGCCAGAGTGCAGCCAGCGGTCCCCAAGTGCTGCATGACTCCGAAGTCGTCATCTCTCTAGAGAACTGATCCAGGAGGGACAGGAGCCGCTCTGCATGGTTCTTCAGAATCTGGGTTCTGTTGCACTAGATCTGTGGGAAAATGGTCACTGTTACCCTTGTCAATGGGTAAGCTAAGGCTCAGAAAGCCCTTCACTCGCAGCCTAGCTCCAGCGGTTTACGAGCCCCAGGGACTACGTCCTTCTCGGTGATAAGCTCTCCAACTTTGAACTCGCTCCAAGTATTTTTTAGGGAAAAGCCCGGGCATTTCCCTAAATGTGGTATTTATGTTCTGTAAACCATATCTACACGCTGGGCATTAGTGGTGAACACCTTTAATACCAGCACTCAGGAGGCAGAGGCGGGCGGATCTCTGAGTTCTAGGCCAGCCTGGTCTACAGAGAGAGTTCCAGGACAGCCTCCAAAGCTACACAGAGAAACCCTGTCTTGAAAAAACAAAAAACATATTTGCATGGATGTTAACGTCAACGTCACTGGTCCGTCAACATCATTGGTCCTTACCCAGAAAATGCCATTAAGTTCTACCCCTCCAGTCATTGGGATGATTTAAAAACATGATCCCACACTTCTAAATGCCTGAAAACCTGAGTTCAAACCCCAGGACCCACATAGGAGAAAACTTCTTTCTGCAGTTGTCCGCCAATCTCTACACACGCGTCAGGACCCGTGTGGGCCCCCACACACAAACATAATACAGTTCTCTTAATTAGAAAGTGATTAACCAACTATCTCAGAAGCCAGCCACCTGGTAGGGAGAATCAACAAACTTGATCCTGGAGAGAAATCTTCGCAGCTCCCCACGGCCAATTTTAGGGGTGGCTTCCTTCAGCTGGACCATCTGGCCTTCCATGAGTGCCCAGCGCAGGCTAAGTTTGCTGACCACCAGAGAGGTGGGGTGTCCATCAGGGCTCATCCCTGTTGTCCTGGTGACATAAAAGGCATCTTTCCAGATGTCGTTGATCCCAACTGAGGAAGGACAATGACAAGCAGTTAGCAACAAGGGAGTCGGCAGCATGCAGCCCTACACCTGACCGACTGCTGTGTCTGCAGACTAGGAAGTAACAGCAGTTGTCTGAAAGGGACACGGATTCTACTCTCCCCCATACAACCACAAAGCTTTATCCGTTGTCGGGCTCCTTTAATGGCCGCCCTGTGAGCTTCGGGCAGTTTCCCTCGGATAAATGGGTTTCAGCTCACCCTGACTCCTCTTCTCCTCCTCTCCCTCTGCCCAGGGTTTTAGATAACTCAGGCACTTGACTCTGTAGGTCCTATAGATGACCTAGCTTGATAAGCAGCCTTGAACTGTCTCTGCGGCCAAGGACGAGCCCTTGACTGTCCTGCCTCTACCTCCCCAGTGCTGGATCATGCCCAGGGCCTCTTGCATGCTGGGCAGACACTCTATCTGCAGCCCATGAGATTCTTATTTACCATTAGTTACTGTTCCCCAAATAATAGTTATGCAAATGCTGCCACACAGCTCATTATATCTCTTACATGGTTTTGCAAGCTGACACTCCCCACTCCCTCACCCCCCACACACAACCAATCAGCTGACAGTCTGCAAGTTCCAGAGCAACACCCTCCCCTCCCCGTGAAGCCCATGACGCAGAGCCACAGCGCCGCTTCAACTCGAGGCAGAGAGCTGTAAGGAGGAAGTCCACAAGAGGCAAGAGAGAGTGGAAAGGCATGAAGGGGCTTGGTGTAAAGGCAGGAGGGTTAGGTGTTCAAGGCCATCCTCAGCTACAGAGCCAGTCTGAGGTCAACCTGGGCTGTATGGGACCTGTCTAACTGCCCCCTCCCTGGCTGATAAAGAAAACAACACAAGGGAGATGTGACGACACTGGTCTCCCTCCTTCCCCGCCCACTTACAGCTGAGACTAGCGGACAGCGGTGGCTCAGTTTCCAGGTCTTTGGGCTCCTGAATAAGGTTTCTCTAAAACATGCGTTCAAGTTCGCTTTATAGTATTGCTTAGACACACAGTGAAGCAGAGTACTTCCAAAGGCTCTGAGTGGCCAGGTTATGGGTAATTTTCCTCCTGTGGTTTTTCTATGCAGTGTGTATGCTTAATATTCACATAAGTAATCACTAAATCAATGTCCTGAAAGAAACATCTCCCTTTCCATTACATCTCACACAGTTAACTTGCAATCCTCAGCCCCTAAAGGCACAGCTGAGGCTCCATCATCACCCCTGGAGTCCTCCTGGAGTGGGGGTATATGCTCCCCTCAGCTGTCAGCACATGCAGAGATTATGCATTCTTGCCCTGGAAGCCTGGCACCATGACCCCTGAGGAAACTCTCCAGCAATGCCCTTGGTTCCAGGGACACCAAGGAAAATGATGTTACCGCCTATTGAAAAGCCATCATCCTTCCCTGGGTGGGCAAAGTTATCACACAGCCAAGACCCACTGGCCGGCGTCATCGGGACTCACCCTCTGAGGCTGTCACGATGCCAGTGGTATTGGTCAGGTCCAGGAGGATGGAGGGGAAGCTCGGGTGCAGAAGATAAAGGTGGTAAAGACCATCAGTGCCTCTAATGTCATCCTAGAAACAGTCACGGAAAAGAAGAGCACAGGTGACTACGCCCCCCACACATGACACCGTTGGGGACAGCAGAGCAGAGCAGAGGGCTCCAGGCAGTCCCGCCGGTGACCCCAACTACAGGGACACATGTGATTTTCCAGAGCTCAAAACACGGATTCACCCCTAACTCCAAACCACTGTCTACAGTCAAAAACATATAAGAGGGAATGAGAGAAGGAAGGAGATGGGAGGAAAGGGAGATGGAGAGGAAGTAAGGTGGGAAGTGAGGAAGGAAGGAAGGAAGGAAGGAAGGAAGGAAGGAAGGAAGGAAGGAAGGAAGAAGATACTTGCAAATGTTTGCAGGAAGGGGGAGCAGGGAAAGAAAGCAGGAAGTGGGGAGGAGGAAGTCAGTGTGGAGACTTCCTTCCACTCACAGCAGAGCTGGGGTTCTCATTCACCCTACAGCAGGTGAGGCTGTGCAGAGAGGAGGCTATGTCTGAACAGTGGTCAAATATATGTCTGTTCATGGATGCCAAAACCAACTGCAAGGGGCTGGGGATGTAACTCCACAGTAGTGCTGGCCTAGCATGTATAAAGCCCCAGGTTTGATGCCAATGGCAAGCGTCAGGCTAAACATAGGAAAGCCTATCAGCTTCCTAGAGAAACAGCCCTCTTGACTAGACAGAAGAAAAACACTAATTACACATAAAAATTGCTGATATCTGAGAATTGTGTCCCAAATCCCTGCAGGAGGAGAAACACCCACAAGGGGGCTTTATCAGCATGCCTTCTGAGTGGGGGACTACGGTAGCCCACGTGTGGACTGCCACGAACTCGCTAAAGTGCACACTGCTGGCCCCACCTTCAAGGACTCAGCATGAGAAGCAGCCTACTTGAGAGAAGCACCCTTACTCTCACCATGAGCCCTTAAGGCAGAGGAAGCCATTTCCATGTTCCTGTGTACTGGGGACAGACCTTAGGCTCAACTAGCATGACATGAAAATAACACTCCTCACCGCCTACAGAACGAAGCCCAAAGTTCTTAACATAAAAGTGAAAGCTTTTCAAGCCAGGCATTATGACACCAGCACTTGGGAGACAGAGACAGGCAAATCTCTGTGAGTTCAAAACCAGCCTGTTCTACATAGTGAATTCCAGAACAGCAAAGAGCAATGTAGAGAGACCCAGGCTCAAAAAATAAAAACAAAGCAAACAAAAAAGCTGAAGTTTTTTCACTGCACTTTTCTAAACTGTAGCTGCATTTACTTGCTGCCAACCCCCCACCCATGGTATTCTCAGTTCAGACACACACACACACACACACACACACACACACACACACACACACACGCGCGCGCGCGCACACACACACACCCTTCCTTCCGGCTCTTCAAAGCCACTACCAATCATGTTATTTCCTCCTTTGGACTGTCTACCCCTCTTCTACACAAACAACTTCTCACCCTCAGCCACAACTCGTATCCAAGCTTTTTCATGAAACACACCCTAATCGCCCCACGCAAAATCAGTATCTCCCTCCTTTTATTCACCTACCTCATTACTTACTGTGTGTATGTGTGTACGTGTATGGGCACATGAGCCACAGTGGGCTTGGAGAGGTTGAAAGACAACTGACTGGGAGTGAGGGGATGTCAGTTTCCCCCTCCCACCATGTGGGTCCCAAGGAACAAATTCAGACTGCCAACCTCGGTGCAAGCAACTCAACGGCTATCTTACCTCGACAGCCCCACCTAAGTTCTTATCTGTACCTCATGTTCCTAAGACACCCTTGGGGTTACCCACAGAAGCCTATCTTGAAAGTCATCTGGCCCAGTCACCTCATTACTATATGGGGACACTAGGGTGGAGGGGACGACAGAGCTAGAACCATAACCTGGACTTCAGGTCAGTCTGTTCGTCAAAATGAGGGGAAAGATAGCATCTTTATGAGTGAAAACAGGAGGCCAGGAAAAAAACAAACAAAACCAGACTTCTCAGAAAAGTGACTTGTTGGGAGGGAGGGGGTGGGTGACAAATTCAGAACTGTGTGTCTACCATGCTTGCCCGTCCCTGGGTCATTTGTGTTCTTGCTACGTCCTGTTACACTCAGGCCCTCACAGATGGAGTTCCATCATCTGTACAGAGCAAGTGAAGCAGAATGCACCTCTCTGTGCTAAGTCAGCCGTGCTTACCGCTGAGTCTTGGCGCCAATTCTAGGGGGCAACCCTGCCTCACGCACCCCACCCAGATACCGCAGTATGACACAAAAAAACCTGTAACATCAGTCTTCAAGGTGTCTGGGCTCCTTTCCCATGGCCCCCACTGGCTCCTCCACTTCAGTCTCTTCAGCATCCGGCTCCCAGAGCTCTCTCTATCCTCTCATGCTCTCTGCTTGCCAGCTCTGCTGGCTCAGAGTCTGGCTAACTTATGCCCAGGCAGGCCAATCACAGTCATCTCTCCACTTCCAGAGTAAGTATATTGACCTGTGGCTTGGAACACGGTATCGTGGAGTCATTTTCTCATCTAGCCCCCTCTCTGTCGGTAGCCTGCAGTTAAGGGGTGTGCTCAGTGCTCACATTGCTGATGGAAAGGCAAAAGGGAAGCCCAGCTCGGGAGCACAGATCTGTTTCCACTCAACCCCTTAGAAGGTGACTGATCCGTCCTGGAGAGCAGCAGCTACGCCTAAGTGACAGACAAGGGGATGACCCCATCCCCACCCCCAACCCCTCAATCCTGTCCTCACTCACAGAATTAAGAGATGCAGTGGTCAGCGCTTCTGCCCAGAAGAGGAAGACAGACTTCTGGTCTGAAGTAATTGCAGAAGTGGTTGGTGTTTCCTTCATGTGACATGGGATAGTGTGACTCCAGATGATGGAGCCAGAGGCACCATCTACCACTGTCATCTGCAGTTGAGGAGACAGAGAAGACAGCCAGTCTTTACGAGAGTGGCAGGACAAGAATCCACACACACACAAAAGTGAGACAAACATCCCGGAGAGCGGATATTCTTCCTCCTCCGTATTTGTGAGGCCCTGGGCTCCAATGCCCAATATTCAGACCAGCAGATGCCAAGTCCCTTACAGAAAGGGCAAGCATTTGCATGTAGCTACACACAGCCTCATGTATGCTTAAATTGTTCTCTAGATTAGCTACAATACCTACTGCAGTACAATAAACATCAATAAACATTGATATATTGTTTAAGGAATAGTAAGAAAAAGGTCTGCAATGTTCAGTACAGAGAGTTTTTAGGCTTTTTCAGCCCTTGGTTGGTTAGCTTTGGTAGCCCAAAAAAATCAAGATCAATTACTTTTTAAAAATTATAGCTCCGACAGCCTCCAAAAAACAATACAGAGAAACTCTGACTCGTAAAACCAAAAAAAAATTTTTACAGCTCTATAATTCTGCCTTTAAGATTAAATAAATGAAACTCATCTAGCAAAGTATTACATCCTCATAACACACAACCTTAGAGGAAAGTCAAGATGTGGAGCCCACGGTTCAGCATCACCGAACATGCTATAGCATTGTGTTCCTGAGCTCCGGTCTTAGTGTTCCTGACCTGGTATTCTTTGCCACCCACACAAATTCAACCTTAAAGGCCCTACCCATACTTCCTTCCTTTACCGCAACACTGCTGTGATGGGAGATGTCCTTCTGTGTATATGTTTCTCTTAATTGGCTGATGAGTAAAACTGTCTGACCAATCAGGCAGGGAGATATGCGGGACTAGGATAAGGAGAATTCTTGGGAAAGGTAGGCAGAGAGAGCCCGCCAAAGACAGTCACCAAGTAAGGACCAGGAAGAAAGGACATACCAGGTGTTCTCCAGTAAGATAAGACTATGTGGAAATACATAGATTAAGAGAACTGGGTTAATAATTAAGACAGACCTAGCCAATAAAAAGGCATAGTCACCGGCCAACAGATTTATAGTTAATATAGCATCTGTATGCTTATTTGGGGCTGAGAAGGTGGCTGCAGGACCAGGTGGGGCAATCCAGCATCACTGCTGTGGAATAATTCTTTTGAACACTCTGAAGATTTGTCACACAGATTGGTTTAATAAAACCTGATTGGGTGCTAGCCAGGCAGGAAGTATAAGTGGGACAACCAAACTAGGAGGATTCTGGGAAGAAGGGAGGAGTCAGAAGAGACACCAGCCAGCTGTAGAGGAAGCATGTATGAAATGAGGTAATAAGCCATGAGCCATGTAGTAGAACTTAGATAAGAATTATGGGTTAATTTAAGTTGTAAAAGCTAGTTAGTAATATGCCTGGGATATCAGCTGAGCATTTATAGTTCATATTAAGTCTCCATGTCAGTTATTTGGGAACTTTCGGGTGGAAAAGAAAAGTCCAACCACAAATGACATTCTAACGTGGGGACAGAATTTCCACAAAAGACCTGATGAAACTTAAAAAAGGATTCTAAACACACAAAAGCAGAGTCAAGCATGGCGTCTTGATAACTGACTTTTCTCAGGTAGACTCTGGTTGCTAGCAACAAGCAGAGACACAGCTCCTTCAAGAGATGGCTTCCTGGCTCGGTGCTAGTATCAAAAAAATGGGTTTGGCTCTTTTAAAACACGGTTTATACGCAGCTGTGATACACTACTCAGTGGCAGTGTGGACCCAAAACCTCCCCAGAGTTGGGGAAGTAAACATGACTCTCGCCAGCAGTACCTCCACCATGAGCCTAGGCTCTCAGGCAACCAAGCAAAGCAAGTCAGACACCAAAACACAGGCAGAGCTCCTAGCCATGCCACTTAGCAGTTTAAAGGTTCACGTGGTCAGAAGAAGACTAAAGATATGCAATAAAGACAGATTCAGATGGGGGCAAAAACCTCTAAATGGGTCACAGTGTGTTTAAAAATGTACACAGGCTTAATACAGAAAAGAGAAAGGGTAGAGACTATTGGGAGACATTCTGTAAATATGTGTCTGAGTGGTTTGAATAAAGAACTGTTGGCCAATAGGGAAACAAGATAGGTGGGAGTAGGCGTCTAGGAGGATTCTGGGAATTGTAGTGAGGAGAGCTCTTGCTATAGGATGTCCCGGAGGCAACGGGCGCTCAGGAGTGTGTCCTCAAAAAGATAAGTTCTTATAAAATATATATTAGTAATTATGGGTTAATAATAAAATCAGAGCTAGCCAATAAGAAACCAAACAAACGGCCAACAGCTTCATAATTAATATAGGGTCTTGTGTGTTATTTGGGGGCTAAAGGCAGCAACAGGAACCAGGCAGCGGGCAGGAAGACTAAACGTTACAGAGACAGTCATAGATTTAAAAAGGAGTTAAAAAATAATAAAGTCAGCCGGGCATTGGTGGCACATGCCTTTAATCCCAGCACTCAGGAGGGCAGAGACAGGTGGATCTCTGTGAATTTGAAACCAGTCTGGATTCTGGTCTACAGAGTGAGTTCCAGATCAGGCTCCAAAGCTACACAGAGAAACCCTGTCCCAAAAAACCAATAATAATAATAATAATAATAATAATAATAATAATAATAATAATAATAATAAAGTCTAGGGGACAGTGGTGGCACATACCTTTAATCCCAGCACTTGGGAGGCAGAGGCAGGCGAATCTCTTCGAGTTCAAAGTCAGCCTGGTCTACAGAGTGAGCTCCAGGACAGCTAGGACTGTTACACAGAGAAACTTTGTCTCAAAAAAAAATCAATAACAACAACAATAATAATAAAGTCCTTAATGAGGGGCTGGAGAGATGGCTCAGAGGTTAAGAACACTGGCTGCTCTTCCAGAGGTCCTGAGTTCAATTCCCAGCAACCACCTGGTGGCTCACAACCATTTGTAATGAGATCTGGTGCCCTCTCCTGGCCTGCAGGAACACATGCAGACAGAATGCTGTATACATAATAAATACATAAAGCTTTTTAAAAAGTCCTTAAAAGGGGACTAGAGTAATAAAAAATATAATAAGCTATGCAAAAATGGTAAATATACAGAGAGTCTGGGTTTTATATGTTGTCTTTAGATTTTCTCATTGCTAATGGAATTATGACAGCTGCTGAGACAATTTAGATTACGAAAACTGCTGGACTACACCAACCAATATATTTAAAAACTGTCTTGACTTTAAAATTTAAGTCAAAATGTGTGTTGCTTTCAGGGAGAGGTTATACCTTTATTTCCACAGGAAATGAGAAGATGTGGATTCATCCCAGGTTAAAGAAAATCAGGTTTGATTGGGGAAGACACCCTGAAATCCTGGCTACAGGCATAAAAAAATAAACCTAGAAGAACTACAAGACAGGTAACGTATATTTTACCTGCTCAAACAAAATAGCATCTTTACCTGACTTGTGCACACCACATATTCCATACTTGTTATGTATGTTACCTTTAAAAGTTTATGTATTTTCAGAACAAGGGGGCCAAACACCAGTGAAAATGAATGGCCCAGGAGATCCAGCATCTCAAAATGTGTCTGTCACAGTCTCCTCAGAACTCTGCATCCAAAATAGCTTCAAACCGCTGCCTGAGGTGATCCAGCCCTCAGAATACTCCAGGTGGGACTTGATGTAACCCTGAATTTTCTCAGGGTCCCCAAAAATTCCAGTGCCCCTAGACAATAGGAAGCAGTCTAGAGAAAATAATGCCCACATTCCCAAAAGATGGGTTATGGATATTTAAGCGGGGGTTGGTTAAAAGTTATTATTGGTCATTGTTAGGGAAGAAGTTAAACAAAAGAGTTAAATTCAAAGATCTCTTTCTAAAGGAAAAAGGGGAGCTATAATATAGAAATGATGAGATAAAAGGGTGGATTACTGAATCTACTTTAATCCAAAAAACAACAATTAATCTTAAAATATTTTGCATTGCTATGGATTTTGGTTTAGTATACAAATTTAATTTTGTTATACTGTATGTATGATTCTATTCTCATTTGAGGTATTGTGTTTATGTAGTTCATTTTAAAATGTAATATATAATTAAGAAATACAGATTAATATTCATCTATAACAGTCAAACTTATAATAATTTTAGGTATATTTTCAGGGTCATACACCTATCTATTTAGATACATGGTCTTCAAACACTTCAAAGATCTACAGAATATGGTATTTAAAATGTTTTAATAACATAAGTCTTTTCTTAACAGTGAGACACATTTGTTTCTGGCAGCACCAATTTACTTCAAAGAAGATAATAGGGTGGGAGGCAGAGGCAGGCGGATCTCTGTGAGTTCAAGGCCAGCCTGGTCTACAGAGCGAGTTCCAGGACAGCCTCCAAAACAATACAGAGAAACCCTGTCTCAAAACAACGAAAAAAAAAATGTATGTCAGATATTCTAGGCCAAAGTTGGATGCCCCAACGTTACAAAGAACTTTGGGTGACTATCTAGGCAGCAAGATGTCCCTGTCAATAGGTAACATTACATCCTTCTGGAGTCTTTGATGGAGTTGAAGACGGGATAGTTAAAGTTTTTCTTAGTTATAACAAAAGGTAAATTAGGTATAAAACTTTAGACTCACAAAGATAAGATAGATAATAAAATATTTTCTCTAATTTTGTCGAATATAAATGGACTGGATACTGTAACTGTAATCTTAATAATTGTTTTTGTTGTATATAATCTTACTATGTTAAAGTTAAAACCTTCCTTTTTAATTAGACAAAAAGGGGGAAATGCTGCAGAATAATCCTTTTGAATATTGTGAAGATTTGTCACTCAGATTTGTTTAATAAAAAACTGACGGGCTGGTAGCCAGATTGGAAGTGTAGACGGGACAGCCAAACTAGGAGAATTCTGGGAAGAAGGGCAGAGTCGAAGGAGATGCCAACCAGATACAGAGGAAGCAGGACATGTAAAAAATGAGGTAACAAGCTATGAGTCACATGACAGAAGTTAGCTAAGAAATATGAGTTAATTTAAGTTGTAAAAGCTACTTAGTAATAAGCCTGAGCTATTGGCCGAGCATTTATAATTCATATTAAGTCTCCACGCTGGTTATATGGGAACTGGTGGGTGTGGGAAAGAAAAGTCTGACTACATAATACCCAGTCACCACTGAGTGCTGCCTTCTCCGAAACCTTATTTTGCCTACACTGAAATGCAATGCTCGTTTATATCCACCTTTCCCTACCCATCTTTGTAAGATGGCTCCTCTCACCTGACTGTAAGTATAGGCTCCAGAAAGAACACAAGATTAGCCTAGAAAAGCTAGACTACAGATTACAGCAATGAGCTGCGAGTTTCCATTGTATTCATTCACTAGACTGGAGTTCTTTGAAGGGAGGCCCTTATTCTCCCCGTGTCTCACCCAGGGCTGGACACAGAGCCCATTCTCTCTGATTGATCTGAGGCCCATGGTTTACCTTTTTCATCCCAACTCCATCCTGTGTCTGCAGAAGGAAGTCCAATGTCTGGTCATCGGTGAAATACCCAGGAGTGGGCTGGCTGCAGACAGACAATGAAGCAATAAACAGACGACACAGAAAAGAAGCGGGAGCTGCCCTCCTTCCCTTGCACCAGCCATGACAACAAGCAGTCCTTCTCAGGGTTTTAAAAACAATGGAAAAGCTGCTAGCAGCAGCCATGATGCAAACCTGAGCAGGCCTTGAAGGTTCAGTTTCCAGAGTGGCATGAGATCTTGTCCCCGAAGCAGGACCAGGCCTTGTCTGGTTGTAATCAAGAGGCTGCTGCAGTTGGAGTCTTGAGCCTTCACCAACTGGAGAAGCTCAACTCCATCACTGTATTGAACAACCCACCAGTCAGTCTCTGCTGTGAATAAGAGTCCCCTAGCCATTTATTCTGACATTTTATTCCCATTGTGTGCCTGCTTGTGTGGACAGCTGTCCCTAGTGTCTATGTGGGAACTGGGGCCAGGACATGCTCATCATCCTTACACAGAATGACAGTGTCTCCATGCAGCCTATATCCTCCTGTGTGGCGTAAACCATCTCTAGATTAGCTATAACTCAGAGTACAATGTAAACAGTCGCAACGCTACATATTCAGGGAATAGCAACAAGAAAACTAGGTCTGTATATGTTGGGTACAGACGCAATGTTTTTCAAATGTTTTCAGCTGGAAGGGGGGTGAATCCACAATGTGAACCCCTCAGGGTATGTACTTCCCACTCTACAGCCATTCCCCACCGTCGTCTTGTCAAGGGAGGCACTTGGTCATTCCTACTGAATCTCATCCTCTTATCTCCAGAAAGCTCCACGCATGTTCAAAAGGAACTCACAACACAAAGCTGTGGTGTGACACCTCTCCACCTGGACCCTCTTGGGACAGTAACAGACACAAGGATAATGGCATGGAGCACAGACAGAGATGGGGACAGGTGGCCTGAAATTGCCACTAAGCTTGGACAATAACTCTTGGCATTAACTTCATCAGATTATTTCTTCTTTCTGCACTACTGGAACCATTCCATCAAACCTCTAAGGCATGATAATACCTGAGATTCTGTCAGGAAAGAAAATAACCATCACTGCCCAAGCCAAGATCTACGTGGGTAAAATGCATAGATTGCTGCATATGACAGCATATGCTGTCAGTCGAGAAGTAAAAAAAATTAGAAAGACAAATCAAGAGATTGCACGGCTCCTACTCTTGCTTCTGTCAAAACGATTCTTCAACTGGGAGAAAAATATAGGGAAGAGCGGGTCGAAGCCTTCGTATCGCTTCATAGTCATTTTATAAATACATGCCTGTTCTGTTCTGACTTGGACCCACGAGTTAATATCCATCTTTGTAACCTGGTTATGAAGTGTACCCTGGTCACCATACGCCGACCCCTCTTTTCCACCACCAACAGAAGAGAATTTCTCACTGCGTTAAGCAGACCAGGGGTTGATGTTTCAAGGTTAGCTCCACTGTCCCCAAACCTCTGCCCTTAGACACCAGTCAACCCAGACTCAGAGGCCTACCCAGGCCACGGCCCTGAGGGCAGTGATAGGTCTCGGCCACACCTGTAAACGTCGATGAGCTCAGAAAGGTTGACGGATCTCCGCTTCTCCCACTCTGGCTCTTCTATCTGCAGAGAGGGTGGTGAGCTGTCTCGATTTTGGGCCTGAACAAAGATGTCCCGCAGGGCGACAGCTTGTATATTTCCTAGTGCCACAGGAAGAGTCAACACTGAGAAGCTGGGTTTAAAAGAATGACCCAGGCTATCCCAGGGTGGGGTTCTGGGTATGGGAGACACAGAGCAGACCACATGGGTCCAATGGAGCCCACTCCAGCTGGTCGAGTGGGGTGATGGGGAGGTGACCAATCAAGCGGATGCTGGGCAGTCCCCGCCCCAGAGACGGCTTCAGGGGAGAGTGGAGTTAGTGGCCTGCAGCATGCGAAAGCCCCGTACAGGAGCCGAGAAAGAGCGACACCAGCAACCCCAGCGTGAGTGTTTGCCCTATCTCACAGGAGGCCTGGCCACCGCCACCAGGGGGCAGATGCCACAGTCAGCCTTGCTTCTTTCTTACCAAAGCCAAACAGGATGTAGACAGCCCCACTGGTGGTGATGTAAACCTGGGGACCAATCAGATTCCCCACTCCCACGATGTTGTACTTCACAGGTCGGCCTATGGGACTCCCTGTCCGGCCAGAAACCAGCAGAAAACACAGATCTGGCTGAAGAAATAAAAGAAGAGAATGTGTTAACAGGGCCCTTTCCTTTCCTCGCACCTCATGAGCTAAGGGCTCAGAGACACTTCCCATGGCTGGAAAGCACAAAGCCAAACTTACTTGCTTTTCCCCCGGGGAATAAGAAATGGGACAAATGTATACTCGCTGACTAGACATGTGTGAATTCCTGAGATGATGGAACACAGTACTCACTGATGACATCATCTCCCAAGGCCAAGAGTTAAATGTAAGATGCTGATGAGAGGAGGCTCTTTACTCAAGAGCCAGCATCTACCAGAGAGACCCTGCTGGTCAGCTGGGTAAGGGGGTAGAATCTCCAGGAAACACATCTGGGTGTGTCTCTGAAGATGTTTCCGGAAAGCTTTAACCAAGGAGGAAGACCAACCCTGGATGTAGGCATCTTCATCCTATCAACTCGGGGCACTGACTGAATGAGAATAGGAAATCATGGGCTACAGAGATGGTTCAGCAGTTACAAGTACTTGTGGTTCAATTATGAGGACCAGTGTTGGATCCCAAGACATGTCCAGCAGCTCACAAATCCCGATAACTGGCTCCAAGGGATCGGAAATCATCTTCCACCCCCTTGGGCGCTCAAATGCACACACTCATAGAGACGTACATATACATACATGCACACACATGAATAAAGTGAAACTTTAATAAGAAGGAAGCGGAAATGAGCACAAGCCTTCATCTCTTTCTGCTTCCCGACTGTGAATGAAAGGGGACCAGCTGTCCCATGCTCCTGCCACCACACCTCTTCAAACCACAGGACGTAATAAGCCTTCCTCCTTTAGTTGCTTTTGTCCGGTATTTGATGGCAGTAATGGGGGAGTGACTAACACACTGGTGCATCGCTGTCTCAGCCCACAGAATTCTCCCGCCATAGCATCAGATGTCTGGCCTGGCCACTCTCAAGATTCATGTTTCTGTGAATAACCCGCTAGCAAATATTGTTGGTTTTTCCAGTTGCTAGGTCTTCCTAGAAACTCCTCTCTATTGTTAGTCTAGCATGAAATCTGTCACAGGCAAAACAGGAAAAGACTATGTTCCAACAAAGGTTTATTTGAGAAAACAGTAGGGCAAATTTAACCCCTGGCCACAGTTTATTAGGCCCAGCTCTAGAAGACTTTGCTTCATTTACTTTTATTTACATATGTGTATCTGTCTGTTGAGTATATGCTGTATGTGAACAGGTACCCTTGGAGGCCAGAAGAGAGCGCCAGATCTCCTTGAGCTGAAGTCTACATCGTGAGTTCCAGGGTTACATAAGGAGATCTTGTCTCAAAAATAAAAATAAAAATAAAAATAAAATAGACTGAGCCCGTAAATTAACATAAGTTGGACCAGCAAGACAGCTCAGCAGGGACAGGCACTTGTCACTAAGTCTGAGAACCCGAGTTCAATCTCTGGAATCTGCATGACGGAAGGAGAGACGCCAGCTATAGCAAGGCAACCCCTGATCTCCACATGCACAGTGTGGCTGGTACAGGCACTCACACACACACACACACACACACACACACACACACACACACACACACACACACAGAGTAAATTAGTAAAATGAGACAAAATAACCAACATCGACACTTAGTGCAAAATGTTTGCCTCTGCAGCATGGCTTATAAATAAAACTTTAAATTAAGGGGTAAAGAGATAGATCAGCAGTTAAGGGCACTGCTGCTTTTGCAGAGGACTGGAGTTTGGTTCCCAGCCCCCACGTAGTGGCTCACAACCACCTGTAACTCCAGTTGCAGGGGATCTGATGCCCTCTTCTGACTTCCAAGGGTACCAGGCATGCTTGTGGTACACAGACATACATGCAGGCCAAACATTCATGTATACAATAAAATAAATATAGCTTTTCATAATTTTTAAATTGTGGGCCAGGCATTCTTTAACCTGTTTTGTTTTGTTGTTGTTGTTGTTTTTCAAGATGGGGTTTCTGTGTAGTTCTGGAGCCTGTCCTGGCACTCGTTCTGTAGACCAAGCTGGCCTTGAATTCACAGAGATTCACCTGCCTCTGCCTCCTGAGAGCTGGGATTAAAGGCATTTGCCACCAACGCCCGGTTCTTTTCTTTAATCTTAGCACTTTGGGAGGCAGAGGCAGGCTGGCCAGGGCTACACAGTGAGAGCCTGTCTCAAAATAAAAAAGAAAGAAAAAGATTTAATTGAGATAAGTGCTCATTAATCTGATCTTTCTCAGACTAGGGAGAAAGTCTATTTCATCTGTGTACACAGCATCTGCTCTACAATACTTAAGCTCTGAGGGTTAGGGTTAGGTTAGGGTTAGGCTAGCTATGAGGCCACTGTGCCAGAATCAAAGTTTATCTTTCTTAAGGGAAAAGGGAGGAATTGAGACATGGCATCATTAAGGGGTACTAGACAGGCTAGAATTTACTGTGTAGACCAGACTGTCCTCAAACTTACAGCAATTCTTGTGCCTCGGCTTCCAAGTGCTGGGATTATAGGCTACCACATCCACACTGAAAGTCTGTCTCCTACAGCACCTCCCTTTGGTCATTGATGAATAAGAGGCTTTGGGTCTGATTCTTTAGATAGGTCTTAACATGCGGCCCCGGGTGGACTGGGAACTCCCAAGTCTCCTTTGTTTTGGGATTACACAGGTAAAGCACTTGCGTATGATTTTTGTTGTTGTTGAGACAGGGTCTTCCATGTCTCCGGCTGATCTCAAACTCACTATTTAGTCAAAGATGACCTTGAACTTCTGGTCCTTCTGCCTTTGTCTCCTTGTATAGGTATTACCACCACACCTGATTCATGCAGTACAGGGGATCAAACAAGGGCTTAATGTATGCTGAACCAGCATGCTACCCACTGAGATATATATATTCAAGGCCTGCATCCTATGAGCCATCTAGCAAACCATCCTATCGTCTTACAGTTGAAGTAAATTTTAAGTGGATACAATATAGTAAAACTAACATTATATTTCTAGAGTAAGAAATAGGCGGCAGTTTTCTAGAACTTAATTTGGTAGCTCTAATTTTCAAAGCCTCCTACAAGGAAATAGAGCTTTCTAGTTTAGACACGCGAAGGAACTAGAGCACCAGCAGAATACAGTTTGCCCGAGGACACAAATCTACAGAGCGGTGCAGAAAGAATTTACACACAGGCCATCCGCCTGCAGAGCTCTCCCACCCCACAGTCCTCAGAACCACAGTGGTAGCATTTGAGATGCTCTTGGTTCACTTAACCTCACCAAGAGAATCTGTTTCAGCCTAAGCCAATGCAAAAACAAGGTTCTAGGCAGCTCTCATAGTAACACCACTAGAACTGGGATGACGACCGTCGAGAGCATTCTTCGTATGAACCTTTTGAAATAGACAGCATACCTGCAATTCTCCAATGGCCAGCACCACCAGATCTCTGACACCATCCCCGTCCAGGTCCGGCAGCACCACAACGGGGGCAGCCAAGGTGCCATTGGACAGATGGTTCGGGTTTAGGGTCCACATGACTTTCCCTGGTGACGGAGAAAGAGGAGGATCACTTCCTTGTCTACCCCAGCAAAAGGTAGCTGTGGCATTCCCCAGCCAGAAAAGAACACTCAAAGGGCTGGGCAGGGGACAGCAGCCTCTCCCACTTTCCCCCTTTAGCTTGTATCCAAGGACAAGGGGAACAGGAAGTGGGATTCCAAACCCTCAAGCATCCAGGTACACTTCCATGTAACAATCCCACATCTGGATTCTAATTAATTGGTTTATGGTTTTCTTTTATGTGTGTGACTAATGACTGCATGCATGTCTATGTACCACCTGTGTGCTGATGCCCAGGAAGGGTCAGAGAGGGCATTCGAAACTGGAGTTACAGCTGGTTGGGAGTGCCCCTATGTTGCTGGGACCTCTGCAAAAGCAGCCTGGTGCTCTTAACTGCTGGGCCAGCCTGGTGCTCTTAACTGCTGGGCCAGCCTGGTGCTCTTAACTGCTGAGCCAGCCTGGTGCTCTTAACTGCTGGGCCAGCCTAGTGCTCTTAACTGCTGAGCCAGCCTGGTGCTCTTAACTGCTGAGCCAGCCTGGTGCTCTTAACTGCTGGGCCAGCCTGGTGCTCTTAACTGCTGGGCCAGCCTGGTGCTCTTAACTGCTGAGCCAGCCTGGTGCTCTTAACTGCTGGGCCATCTCTCCAGTCCCGCACACCCAGATTTTGTAATGAAATAGAGACTTCTAAGTCTTCTGGCAAGTAGGAGCTGAGGCATGTGTCTGACGCAGGGAGTCACTAAGGAGCCCGCACAAGAGAAACTGCAGAAGGCTGTCCAGGAGGACTCCAGTCCTGAGCTAAGACAGTACATGTCTGACTTATTTTTAGTATAGTTCATAATAGCCCAGGCTAACCTTGCTGTCCCTCAACTTCTGATCCTGTTCCTACCTCTTAAATGAGTGCTGAGATCACAGGCTTACACAGCTATGCCCAGTTTATGGGGCTTTGGACATGCTAAGTAATCACTCTACCGAGTGACTGACACATGTAGTTCCCCCACTCAGAGCACCCCACTATCCAAGCATGTCACACCTGTAATGCCAGCACTTGGGAGGCTGAGGCAGGAAGATGTAATGAATTTAAGGTCTGGCGAACAGTATAAAACTGTGTCTCAGGTACAGGGAGGGGACGGGAGGACAGGAAGGAGAGGAAACTGTGGTAGGTATGTAAAACAAATGAAAAACATTAATAAAAATAAATAAATAAATAAAGCTGGGTGGCACACGCCTTTAATCCTAGCATCGGGGAGGCAAAGACAGGTGGATCTCTGAGAGTTGGAGGCTAGCCTGGTCTACAGAGTGAATTCCGGGACAAGCTCCAAAGCTGCAGAGAAACTCTGTCTCAAAAAAAAAAAAAAACTAAATAAATAAAATACTTTACTAAAACTAAAAAAAAAAATCTCAAAAATGAGGATGCAAAATAAAACAAACAAACACCCCACTATAGCACCTCTGATGTGGGAAGGGTGTCACATTTGTTCAACTTCTCCTGAGCTTATGGGCCCTGTGACAACTCATTGTAAGGACACATCTTTATCATGCTGGACTCATTTCCATCACTTTGTCTTGTGGACCTAAGAGGGAAAAGAAACTAAAAGCCATTTCAACATCCTCCCCAAGCCTAGTTCTTTTTCCTAGCATTCAGCCAGTACCCAGGTTCACATATGGACCAGGAGAATCCAAAGAGGAGGTGACACGCCCTTGCCTGTTGTATACAGAGCAGAGCAGAGCAGAGCAGAGGGACTATTCACAGTCCAAGCCCCGACCCCAGGCAGCTTCTGTTTGGGGAAGAGCTAATCTTATCACCAAACAGGTTGCAAAGAGAATCTCCTTACTCCATCTGCACAAGCCCTTTATATCATTCCCTTAATAATCACCTCCTGAACCAGAGCGACAAAGCAGTTCCCGCCTGTCAGAGGACAAACCTCCCCCGCAGGCTGTTTAAACACAAACCCAGGCGGGCAGAGGCAAAGCTCCAGACCACGCTACCTGACGTAGCATTGAATGCACTGAGCATCTTGCGCGTCCCTGTCACGAGGCAGATGGTTTTGGCCACGCTTCCTGGCGTCAGATCCAAGCATGTGACATCTTGAGCCTCCTCTGGGAGGGGACTGGACCACAGTATGCTGCCATTCACCCCCGAAAGGCACACAAGATCTGCAGTCGGTTGTGAGCCACCACCTAAAGAAAGGCATGTAAGAGAGACGAGGAGAGAGAGAGGGGGAGGGGGAGGGAGGGAGGGGGGAGGGAGAGGGAGGAAGGGAGAGGGAGGGAGGGAGGGAGGGAGGGGGAGGGAGAGGGAGGAAGGGAGAGGGAGGGAGGGAGGGAGGGGGAGAGAGAGGGGAAGGGAGGGAGGGAGGGAGGGGGAGAGAGAGGGGAAGGGAGGGAGGGAGGGGGGGAAGAGAGAGAGAGAGAGGGAGGACACTTGAGAAGTGAATGATGGTGGGCTGTGAGGCTGCAGTTCACACCCGTGTGCTTAGCTCCCTCCTGTGTTTCTGACAAGGTGTGAACATGGAACTTGTCATCTCTCCTACCCCGCACCTGGTGTAGGACAAGTGTAAGACCAGCCACTGTGGGCTTTTCCATGCTGTCTCACCATGGCTCCGTTTTGGCACCCTTCCCAACCCATCTGTTCATCTGTCGGCCGCCTTAACCCACACTACACAGTGACGTCCTTGGAGACAGACAGACACTGACTTCTGATTTCTCAGCACATTATAGGATACCTGCTGCACAGGCATTTGCTGAGCAAATGACAGGGAAAGGCCAGCAAATGGGTGTGTAAAGTTATCTGTTGCTGAGCCTGATAACCCCCGAGTTCAGTCCCCAGTACCCTGAATCCATGCAGCGTGGGGAGCACATCCCAACCCTCGTCACCAGCAGCAAACGCTCCCTGAGCAGAAGAAGGCGATTTCAGAAATGGCCTGAAGTTTTGAGTAGGGGCAGCCAGGAGGCCTTGCTGTCTGCAGCTGTCTAGTTCACTCCCGGGAGGGAGAAGAACACTTGGGGCGACAAGAACCAGGTCCAAGGAAGCGGAACCACAGCTGTTGAGGCCAGGACGTGACTTAAGAAGAGTCCAAATTCGTGACAGCTTTACTTTCCCTCTCAGGAACGGACATCTTGAGTCATCTCACACTTTCTATGTTCAGTCGCCATCATTTCCAAAGATTCAGTCTTCCTGTTTCTCAGCAGTGCTAACCAAACAATACAGCCTCAAACAGGAAACAGGGTGTGGCCGGCCCCGTTCCTGCCAAGAGTAGCAGTCTGTGTACCCTCTGGACTTGCCTGTCAAACCTGTGCTCTGCTTCCTGCCTGAGACCCGACGGAGCCCAGGTCCACTCTCTGACTCGGGTTTTTCAGTGTAGTGAAGAATTTCACCTTCCCCGAGACCCTGCCGCTCCTTCAGGCAGGCAGGAACCACGCTCCTACTGACTCCTACTGACTCCTCCCTAAACACTCAGCACAACCCTGGGGGGGAACAGTGCCTGCTGTAGCCGATACGCGCTTGTTGGATGAGTCATACCAACTACCCCTCTCTTCCCGGCGGCACAAAGCATTGTGGGTTACAGGTACATCCATGTGGCGTGAGGGTCGAGGATCTGAAACTCCAGGTCTACCTTTGCCAGGTGTGGGACTCTAACATGTTCCTCACCCTCAGTGTGCCTCAGTTTCCTCATCTGGAAAAAAGGGACAATAATACTCCCCTACCTGGTAGGACTGTGTTGAGGAGCAAATTCATTCAGTGTGCCGTGTGCCTCCTAAGGGCTCAGCACGAAGGAGGTGCCTAATGGCAGTTATTGGAGTGGTTTGACTGAGAAATGTCCCCCACAGGTTCAGGTGTTTGAACAGTTGGAGCCTAGTTGGTGGCAGCATTTGAGGGCATTGTGGAACCTTTAAGGTGTGAAGCCTTGCTGTGGGCAAATCATGTTTGTCTACACAGTGTCCAAACCCACAGTTTTGCTGCTATGCATCTTGATGTAAAGCCAAGTAGGCAAAATACCATAGAACTTCAGCATCGCTACCCTAACAAAGGTGAGTGAATCAAGACCAGGAAATGAAATGGAGCTAAGATCATACGAAAGTCTGCTGCAAACTGAGAATCGCTCTCTGTCACAAAGTCGCATCTATACATCAGACATGCTTCCAAGGGCATTTTAGTAACACCAGGCAAATGCACAGTACGGAAATCCCTAAGGTATACCCAGTGCTCACTCTGGGCCTAAAGATTAAAAGGCACGTCCTAGGATTTCCTCACCCTCTGGGTAGGGTTCTTGCATCAGCTGGTATGCTACAGTCATCATCCAACTGCAAGCAAATCCCTGTGCGACTATCATGGAAATGAGGCATTTTCCGTTGCTTTTTGGTTGCAGGTCTAACAGAGTCCCAGAAACTGCACGCTCATCTAGTGTGAGCTATGGACTTCAATAAGGAGACCACTGGCAAAGGCGTGTCAGGGCAGAGGGCCTCATCAGCCCCTCAGAGCTGTTAACTCCCCAGGACAGAGGAGGAAGAGGTTACTGGAACCCAGAAATAAAATACTCTAAGAGGGCCAGCTTGAGACCAGCTGTGATGGTGGCCAAGTTGCTGCCATCCTGCTCCAACAGCAGCTGTAGAAGGAAGCCAGGGAAGTTAAGTCCCTCTCCTAACTCTCACTCCCAGATGGCTAGGGAGTCTATAAATATCCTCCACATCATCTAGCTTTCCCAGGGAGGGCAAACCTGGAGAATTAAACTGAAAGGGGAAAGGGAAGCTGGCAGTCCCCCGAACATCTGTGTGCAAAGGTGTGTGAGTCATGACCAGCGCTGACGGGACTGGAGAGCAGGGCAGCATCAGCAGTCGCTGTAAGCTAGTGGGCCGTGGGAAATCGGCTGGGGAGGTGGCTCCGTCGGTAAAGTGCTTGCTACACAAGCAAGAAAGCCTGAGTTTAATCCCCAGAACCCACATAAACAAGTCTGGAGAGGTGGCACATTCTTGTAATCACACAGCCAGGAAGGCAAGCAGGCAGCTTCTGAGGATTGCTAGCCAGCTCCAGGCCAGTAAGAGTCACTGTCTCAAAACATAATGCAGAATGACACCTGAGGTGGGCTCTGTCCCTCCCCCAACATGCACACACACACACACACACACACACACACACACACACACACACACACACACATTGCAGGATATTTGATCACACTGTGAAACCTGAGACTGTGTTAATAAAATCAACTTTGGATCAGGGGCAGAGCCAGCAATTAGTTGGCAGTAATTAGCCATAGAGAGTACAGAGGAGCCAGGAAGATGGATAGAGAGGCACAGGAAGGAGAGCGGGGAGGGTCTTGGGCTTTCTTGTTTGGGACAACTGGAGAGATTCTCTCTTGCTGGGTCTCTAGCCAAAAAAGAAGGTCAGCTGGTCGCTTCTTGGCCTCTCTGAGCTACCAGGTTTTCACCCCAACATCTGACTCCTAAGTCTTGATTAGTAAATAGAATGACAGAGATTTAGCTAAAAATTACACTTGGCAGAAGCTGTAGAGCCAGTGCTGGTGGTACTGGAAATCCTACCAGGCCTGGGCCTGAGCGGTGGGCACTGACTGCAGGACACAGACATAGCTAAACTATCAGTAGGTCCAAATGCAGCCAATAAGCTGATGGAAAAACCACACGCACTCACACCTAGTTACTAAGGCAGTCGCCCAAGGTATGGGCAAGTCACTTCTCTGAACCAGTTTCTTCACTTGCCTGGATGACCATTCAAAGTCCCTCCAGCTTCCACTCACTCTGCCTTCCTTCCTTCCTTCCTTCCTTCCTTCCTTCCTTCCTTCCTTCCTTCCTTCTTTCCTCCCTCCCTCCCTCCCTCCCTTCCTTCCTCCCTTCCTCCCTCCCTCCTTGGAGCAGGGGTCACTTTAAGACAGGGTCCCTCTAGCTCTGACTGTCCTAGAATTCAATATATAGACCAGGTTGACCTTGAATTGGCAGAAACTGGCTTGCCTTCACCTTCTGAGTGCTGGGATTAAAGCATGCATCTGAGCACCAGTTTCTGGAAATGATCTTTATTTACATCAGGAACTCTCTGGTGAGGCACATCACGCATGGTGATCTGCAGTGACCTGTCCCCTGCAGACTCTCTTCTGCATTGTCCCTGGGAAGCTGACTAATGCTTTCCCGCTTCCCCTTGGCTGACACCTCCCCCTTGGCAGCCTCCAGAAGATGTATCTCTCTTACCTCCTTCAGTCCCATTCCTGGTTGTCACAAAGGAGAGAAGCACGTCCCGCAAGCCATCTCTATTCACGTCAGCCAACTCCAGGGGAGACAGGTCCCCGTCTGGCGTACACATAAAGAAACAAAAAGGGCCTGAGCCAGTTACCACAGACTAGTTCTCTTCTGCCGGGTTAGAAAGAAGACAGACACAGACACTGCCAACAGCCCCTCCCCGCCCAAGGGGACTGTGCTCCCAAACAAGACAGCAGAGATATGCATCTCCCCAAACCTGCCCAGAACCCTGGATGCCATACATAAAGCAGTCAGGTTCTGAAAAGAGGGGCCATTAAGGATGACTGACTAAGACTATAAGACCTAAGGAATGGTATTGGATGGAATCCCCTGGGGTTTCTGGACACACTGGATAGGGAAACATCCCGCAACTCAGAAACGCCACAGGGCAAGAGGAGACCTAAGAAACCCAGCTGCCCTGGCCAGAGGCCCAGGAAGGGTACAGCCAGCAAGGCAAACCGATTAAAGATAATACGCAGGGTGATCTGCAGTGACCTGTCCCCGGAGACTCTCTTCTCCTATCCCCACCCCACAGCGAAGGCTGTGGGACCTGACTTCCGGAACATTGCTCTGGTACCATCAAGTCACCCTGCCCTCCCTCCAGAGTCAAAGCCAAAATGGCCAAGGGCAGCCAGGAGCATCCCACCTGCAGGGACGGAAGGTCTGGCGCCCCGCCCAGCCCTGTGTGGGGAGCAGAGCCAAGGGAGGGTCCCCTCCTGTGACTGAGGGGTGAAGGACACCTCACAAGAGTAGGAGCACAAGCTGGTACAACAGTGTAAAAAAGTGTTCAGAAAGAGCACGCCCTCTGACAGGCAGCTTCTGCCTTGGAGAAATTCGTACAGAACTCTTTGGAAATACATAAAAATGTTCTTGGAATCACTTATTTAAAAAAAATAAGATTGGAAACCATTTAACTGGTTATCAACAGTAGAATTGTTAAATAGTGGGATATTCATAACATGGAAAATTAGACATTGGTAAAAATGAATAGACTCTAGCTACAGTGAATCGGTGCAGACTAGTCTCAGAAATGTCTCTTTAGACTCTAGCCACAGTGAATCGGTGCAGACTAGTCTCAGAAATGTCTCTTTAGACTCTAGCTACAGTGAATCGGTGCATAACAAACGTTAATTTTTAAGATTTGGCGGGAAAGCCAGGCATGGTGGTGCACGCCTGTGAAACCAGCACTTGCGAGGCTAAGGCAGAGACTGCCACCAATTCAGGGACAACCAGGCCGAAAAGTGAATTCTAAGCCAGCCAGGGTGACAGTGACGAGACAGTGTCTCCAGAAAGAAATTAGGCCGGGCATAGTTCTACATGCCCTTAGTCCCAGCACTTGGGAAGCAGACGCAGACAGATCTCTGTGAGTTGAAGACCAGCTTGGTCTCCATAGTGAGTTCCAGGCCAGCCAAGGCTAGAGTGAGAGCCTGTCTCAAAACCAAACCAAAACAACAGAACGAGTTGGAGGAAAACTTATATGATGCCTTAAAATCCCGCAACTCACCTCCTTGGGAGCCCAGGCGCCTGCTCCAGGTGCTGTGCAGATCCCGGGGAGGACAGGGGATGAGGAAGGCGCAGAGGAGGACCAGGACCATGGAGATCACCAGCGTCAGCAGAAAGACAGACGTGCGCACATAGGACACCAGGGAAGAGGTGGCCTTCTGCTCCAGACCCCCGAGGGGTTCCGAGGGGTAACCCTCTGGGGCGACTTCTGAAAGATGTGGCTTCCCAGCCCCAGCCACGTCGGCATCCGAGTCGGGCTCCGGCAGGTCCCCCAGGGCGCTCTTCCCATTTTTGACCCCTCCGTTCTTCTGCTGCAAGTTAAGCACGAGATCATCTTCGCTCTCATCGCTGTCAGCCTGGGTGAGGGGGTCATACTCCCCGAGGTCTGGGCTCTTCTTCCCTGGAAAGACAGACCAGAGGACAGAGTCAGAGAGAGCCCGGAAAGAGCCTCGTCAGACTGTGGGGACAAGCAAGAAAAATCTCAGCTACCAAAGGGGAAAAACAAAAACAACCTAGCTTTAACATCCTTCAGGCCTTAGTGGCTTTCTGTATAATCAGCTGTCAGCACAGGGTTCCCCAGGGAGTCTACTGTTGTAGAATTACCGTCTTTTGGGGTTAAGAAAATTAAGAAAGCTGTGGTAGAAGTAGAATATACCATATTAACCAAAATAATCCAGGCCTAGACAGATACACACTGCCTGCTTGCTCATGTGAAAGCTAAAACAATAATCTTGAGAGCAGAAGGCCAGGCATAATAGCTCATACCTATAATCTTGGTGCTTGTTAAAGCCAGAAGGGTTGTCATGAGTTTGAGGCCAGCCTGGGCCACAAAGCAAGACCCCTGCCTCATGGGCTAGTGATAAGGCTCAGTGGGTGAAGGTGCTTCCTGTCAGGCCTGATGACACAAGTTCAGTCCCCAGGGCCTGCACAACAGAATTCGCTTCTGCAAGTTGTCATCTAGCCATATATATATAATTTTTAAGTGTAATAATAAAAAAGACCCTGTCTCTGAGACACATAAAAGAAGCTGAGGTAAACTCGGTTTAAGGTAAAATGCGGGCTTAGCATGCACAAAGGTCTGGGTTTGCATAAAGCAGGCATGGTGGTGCATGCCTCCTAACACTTGGGAACACTGCCAGGACCTGAAATTCAAGGTCATCCTCAGCTTAGTTTAAGGCCAGTTTGTCATATGAGACACTGGCTCATAAAAGGGTGTGCAACTAGAGATACGGTTCAGTGGTTAAGAGCATTGGCTGCTCTTTGGAAGCGCTGGGTCTGACTCCCAGCATCCATCAGGTAGCTCACAATGGTCTGCAACTCCAGTTTTAGGGGATCTGCAGCCCTCTTCTGGCCTCCTTGGGCACCAGGCATGCATTTGGTACACAGACATGCAAATATGCAAAACACCCATACACATAAAATAAATGCTTTTTTTTTTTTAAAGAGAAGCAAAGAACAGACGGTGGTTACCAGGTTCAGTTGGATAGAAAAATAACTTCCAAAGTTCTGTAGCACAATCAATAACTATGGTTGTCCCTGTGAGTCCCAAGGATTGAACTCTGGTTGTCAGTCTTGCTGGCAAGCACTTTTACCAACAGAGGCATCTTGCCAGCCCAAATATACTGTTCCTCATATAAGCTTCTTAGTCTGATCGAATGTCACTAACGAAGATGGTCGTGGTTCTTCAGACTTTTAAACTTTTATTCATTCACGCACGCATGTATTCATTCATTCACTTGAGACAAGGACTCACTATGTAGCCTAGGCTGTCCTTGAACCTGTGGTGACCCTCCTACCTCAGCCTGGCTGGTGCTGGGATTACATGTGTGCATAACCACTGCCAGCTTGAGACTTGCCTTACACCTACCCTCTCTTCCTGCTCTAGATTTTCTCAGAGCCATGACGCATGATTGTTCCTGGTAAACTTCTAGAACAATTCTATTCTGTATGCTGTCTCTCACTGGGCATCTATGGTTTCCAAGTTGTTTCTATGGAAACAAGTTAGCAAGCTGAATACCACACGCCAGCTGAAGGTGTTTGATGACACCCCACTTCTCAGAATTGTCCTGCAATTTGAATATCCTTTAAGAATACCTTTCAGTAAAGGTGTAAAAACTATAATCTGAGCATGCGTCCTGCGAGAGGTGGCTGGTACCCACAGTCTGCTCCCCGCCTCTACTCAGACTCTGTTGAGAGGCTTGGTGGGTGCATCCCCCACACGACTCCTGGCTCTCGGTGCACTGGCCTGTACCTTCCTGTCAGGCTACGGTTGAGGAAGGTTTCCTCTTTGGAAACCGCCCGGCACGCTGTGACGAATGAGAACTAATGTAAATCCTCTAGTTCCGAAGAATTCGAAAGGGAAACACAGTCCAGCAGGGCTGGCACAGGTCTCTGTCTCGCTGATGTCCTTCTGGAAACTGCATCTGTGAACCACCACACAGAAGGAAGCGCTAAAACAGACAGGGAGGCAGATGCTGAGGGGAAACCTGGAGGACAAAGTGTTAAGAGAAGCTTTTTCCTTTGAGAGGAGCCTTCCTGCCAGCCTGGTTCTAGAGCCGCATCAGTCCCAAATAAACACACAGGAGGCTATATTAATTATGAAGCTGTTGGCCTTGCTTGTTTCTTCCTGGCTAGCTCTGACTTAAGCAATTACCCCATAATTGCTAATCCAAGTATGTTTCTTACCGGAGAATAGTTCTGGGCTTCCTACCCCATGGCGTTACATGTTGACTTTTCTGTGTTTCTCCTTCCCAGAGTCCTTCTGGACTCCTAGTCCCTCCTATCTAGATTCCCTATTGGCCAGACAGTGCTTTATTGACAAATGCACAAGACTTCCCCAACAACAAAGTTTAGCATTTGTTTAATAAAAACATTCCACGGGATCACTCTGCCTCACTTAGCACTTTCTAGAAACAGATTACACTAGGTAATGTGGTGATCAGTAACTAGAAGTTTCTCTTTATTTTCATTTCCAAAGTTATTCATTTTGAACAGTGGAGGCTGGATTTGGTCTTTTGCTTGCTTTCAAGTTGGGTCTATCTGAAACTGTGCCCTGATGTCCTAAATGCTGAGGTTACAGCTGTGTGACTCCATGATTGGCTTGGAGTTGGCTATCTATCCCCCACCACTCTGATTCTCTCTCTCTCTCTCTGTCTCTGTCTCTGTCTCTGTCTCTGTCTCTGTCTCTGTGTGTGTGTGTGTGTGTGTATGTGTGTATGTGTGTCTGTCTGTCTCTCTGTCTATGTGTGTGTGTGCATGTGTGTATGTGTGTCTGTCTGTCTGTCTGTCTCTGTGTGTGTGTGTGTGTGTTTTATAAGTATGTGTATACATGTGTGTCTGAATACACTTGCCTGTGTGTGTCCATGTGGAGGCCAGAGGTCAAGTCTGGGTATCTTCCTCCATTTATCCTCATTTTATTTGTTTTTGTTTTTTGTTTTGTTTTGTTTCTTATTTTTCAAGACAGGGTTTCTCTGTGGCTTTGGAGCCTGTCCTGGAACTCACTCTGTAGATCAGGCTGGCCTCGAACTCACAGAGATCTGCCTGCCTCTGCTCCCGAATGCCGGGATCAAAGGCGTGCGCCACCAACACCTGGCGTCACCTTATTTTTTGAGACACATCTTTCACTAAAACTGAGCTGGCCACTCTGGGCTCACAAGGCTGGCAGCAAGGCCCCAGGATCCACCTGTCTCTGACTCTAAGAACACTGGAGCCTGAAGCAAGAGGACGGAGGAACAATCCAAAACCGAGGTCAGCCTGGCTTACATAGTTACCAGACGGCAAGGTAAGCCTCCGTCTTAAAAGACAAACAAAAATTTTAGGAATACTCCTGATGGGAACTCAGCAGTTAAGAGCACTGGCTGCTCTTCCCCCAAGTTCAACTCCCAGCAACCATTTGGTGAAAGACAACTGTTTGCAATTCCAGTTCCAGAGGATCCAATGCCATCCTCTGGCCTCCGAGGGAATCAGACACACATACGGTTCACAGACACACGTGTAAATAAAACATAACTTGGGGGATGTTTATTGTTGTTGGTTTGGTTTGATTTCATTTTTTGTTTTGTCTTTTGCTTGTTTTTTGTTGTTTTGTTTGAGGCAGGGCTTCTGTGTGTAGTCTGGCTGTCCTGGAACTTACAGTAGACCAGGCTGCCTCTGCCTCCACCTTCTGAGCACTGGAACTAAAGCCATGTGCCACCACCACCCACCTGAAAACAAAAAACAAATAAAAAAAAAATACCTCTGGCAACCAAGAAAACATACTAGATCTCCAAATCTCAGGGCTGGGTTAGAAATTAAAGCTCATATAATCCTGTTCCCCGTCACACATCCGGCAAGCAATCACTCAGCACACAGCTGCGTGTGAGCAGTGTGGGGAGCCCACTGGTCTCTATCTACCACTTGGAAGACCAAGGAAGGAGGATCCGGAGCTCAAGGCCGGTGTCAGCTACACCGTGAGTTTACACCAGCCTGGGCTACACGAGGCATTGTCTTACAACAAAGGGAAGAGTCTAGGTCTTCATAACACAAAGGCAAGCTTAGCTCTCTTACCAGCTATGTGTGTCCTTCCTTTCAAATACTATGGGGCCTCAATGTCCCCATTTATAAAACATAATAATTATTGTTCATATCCCATGATTATTATAAGGATTAAGTAAGACAATATACAAATGGTCCTTCACGCCTGGCTTATGGTCATAATCAATTTTGGCTTCTATTATTAATGTCTAAATCTGTCAACAGCCTTCGCCCAGCCTCCTCATCTCCAGGTTAACTCCTCTGTCTCTTTCAATTCAGGATTGGAAGGGACAGTTCAGGTGACCCTTCTCTGCATACCTGTGACATGCCCATACTTTTTAAAGCAGGGTTTCTGGAATTGAATACTATGCAAGGGTGTGGTCTGACCACAGAGAGGCAGAACATGTCATCACGATCCAGATGGCTTAATGGTTCAGTAGATATTGGTAGGTCTTGGCAGCCTCATCACACACCAATCCTCCTAAAACTCCCAAGGATTCTGACCCGTGCTCAGGCCGCCCTCCGGTCTTACCACTGCATTTTGAGCACCAAATGAAAAATGCAGAAGCAGCATCTACCTCAGTCAATCTTGTCAGCCTTTGCCTCCCAAGGTTCCCAAAGAAGCAAAACTGTCAAAGTGAAACCACTAACAAAATACCATCTAACAGCTGGGCGGTGGTCGCCTTTAATCCCAGCACTCAGGAGGCAGAGGCAAGCCTGGTCTACAGAGCAAGTTCCAGGACAGGCTCCAAAGCAACACAGAGAAACCCTGCCTCAAAAAAACAAAAAAAGGAACAAACAAAACAAAACAAAACAAAAAGCAGGAGAGAGGGAGACAGAAGAAGAGGAGAAAGAAAGGGAGGAGGGGGAGGGAGAGAAGGGGCAGAG